AGTTTCAACAAATTACGACAATTTATCTTTAAAGTGCCCCTCTTTCTGGCAATAGAAGCATTTCTTGTTGGATTTGTTCCTTTTGAATTTTGATATTCCTCTTGCAATTAGAATACTATCAGTATTATTTTCTTTATGTTCATATTTTCTTTGAACATCCTTTTGACATCAAGACATATTTTTCCTCTGTCATTGTCAATGTTTGCTTCCCATACAACATAGTGTTAACAATGTGCTCATGTGTTTTTGGTAAAGAGCTGAGGAGTATAATTCCTTGATCTTCTTCGTCTATTACCACATCGACATTCTTGAGGTCAAGAATCTGCTTAGTAAAATCATCCAAATGTTTTCTAAGCTCCTTTGCTTCTTCCATTTGGAGTGTGTATAATTGTTTCTTCCAAAATTGTTGATTAGTAAGAGATCTTTTCATATAAATTGATTCAAGCTTCCGCCATACCTCTAATGCCGAGTCTTCTTCAACAACCTCTCTCAACACTTCGTCACCAAGAGAAAGGAGAATGGTACTGTATGCCTTCAATTGCATTTCTCTAGCTCTGACCTTGTCAGTAACTGCAACAATATTCTCCTCAGAAATGGCATTGGCAAGGCCTTGATGGACCTGTAAAGACTTTATCTTTATCTGCCATAAGCTGAAATCATTCCCCCCATTGAACTTGTCGATATCAAACATTTGCATCGACATGATCAAGAAACAAGAACTCGATCTGCACCCCAACGTCACCAATCTACTTTTGCTCACAAGATCTTACCAGAAATAACAAGAAAATATCCTTGTTGTTTGTGTTTGACCCGAACACTTAAGCAGAACCTCACCTTTCTCTTGCCTATGTGGAATCTGCTTCGATTTCTCAATTGTGGAATCAAACCATGACTACTGCTCCACCAGGCTACTTCGACCTAGGTAGCTTCTCCCGTGCGAAATCGCGCTCCGACCCTTGACCCGACTTTTCACCCCCATGCTAGCCTTGGCCGAACCCTACTTCTACTCGGGGTGTCTATATTTGATACGACCCGAAAACCCGGCTCAAACTCGATCCAAAAATTTCAGGTTAGGGTCAACCCGGACCTAAAACGGGTTGAGTTCGGGTTAAGCAAATCAACCCGTTCAAAAATCAGGTCAGGTTCGAGTTTATCCAGTAATCTGAAATTGACATGTTTTGAACCGAAAACCCGTTTTGACCTGGAAATCCGAGATTGATCCGTCTTTGACAAAAAAAAAAGGATATTGGCTCATTTTTTGACCAGAAAACTAGAATTTTTAGTCGGTCTAGGGTCATTCGGGTCACGTCGAGCTGATCCGGACCCGAAGCGGGTCGGGTTCGGGTCCAAAAAACTGACCCTTTTTCAAAATGGGTCGAGTTCGGGTTGAACCAAATACCGGAATGCGACTTGTGACCCGAAATTGACACCCCTAGCTCCTACGACAGGCCGTCGCTCCCCCTGTCGCACCGCGTCTCGCACACACTTCGGCCTACACACTCCGAGTTCCTGTGTCCTGCGCCTAGCACATGCACTCGCTCATCGTGCACCGCCTAAACATGTTCGCTTTCGCCCGACTTCGATCCTGCAGCCCGTGTCCTCTCTTTGGCCCTATGCGACTGTCTGCACCCTGAGTGCATTTACCCACGCATACTACTACCTGCGACTAGCTCACGCACAATCGTGCCACCCTATTCGCACTTACAACTTTGGCCGGTCTATGCCTCTCATGCGCTTGTGCGCGCAACTTCTGCCCGATAACAGACCCACACATAGGGGTGTAAACGAGTCGAGTCGAGTTGAGTATTTGCCTTATCAAGCCTGGCTCGTTTAATCCTTAATGAGCTCGAGCTTGATTAGTAGGCTCGAGATCGACTCGTTTAAAAAATATCAAGCTCGAGCTCGACTCGAAAGCTCGAGCTCGTTTGAAAAGCTCGAGCTCGTTTAAAAAGCTCGAACTCAACTCTTTTAATTGGCATGAGTCTTTAATTTTAAACCAAAATTTTCTCTTTTTTTGGAATTTTTTTCGTCTAACACTTAATTAAAATTTGTTTTCAACAATAAAAAAAAAACTTAACTAATTATAAAATGTCTAGAACTTTAACTATTAATTTCTTTAAAAAAATTTAAGTTGTAGAAGAATCTATATATTATGAGCAATCATCTTTTTTTAAAAAAAAATTATTTAAAAATTTGATCAATATCAACTTATCAACTGCAATTTTTATATGATTAAGTACTATAAAAACTTGAATAACATAGAAATAGAACTTTCAATAATATAAAAATTTGACCAAATTGCATTTCATATCATCATTACAAAAAAAGCAATTGGAATCATACAACTCATTAAGAAGTTTCAGAATAGAGCACAAGTAAAAACTGAATAGAAGATATAACTATATATTCCTTGTATGTCTGATATTTGGTTGTTCCATATTCTTAAATTTCTTCCATCTCTACTCTCTAGTACCAATTAATATGATAAAAACTTGTAAAATTAAGATAAAAGCAAAATAATAATTATTTTAGAAATGGGGTAAAAAGAAAAATATTATCTTACAAAAGGTAAAACGGAAGGAATCACATATTTCTACAGACAAAATTCATAAGCATTCTTACCGCTCAAACCTAACAAGCAAAATTATCCACCATATGTTTTTGATGGATAGCATAAAAAAACTACGGAATGACCAAGCAAGTAATTGTGAACTGCATGAGCTCCCAAACATAGATTCCCAGCTACTGCTAATGTTTGAAAAAGAAAAGCTTAACTTAATTATCATATGCAACTTTATAGATCTTATTATCAGGAAAAGCTTACAAGCAAGAAATAATAAGCACGTGTAATGAGTAAGAAAGCCGAATAAGCTGTACAAAGCTTAGCTGCAAAGAGAGCTGTACAACCTATGAGCTTCATTTTGCAATGAGTATAGCACTATTCCAAAAGAATTCATATATATATCGTTAAAAAACTAGTAATTTGTTCTTTTTTTTTTTCTTATTTTCTCTGATGCAATTTTCTTTGTTTAAATATAGACATGATAAATGGGAGTTGAGGTTGTATGAAAAAAAATTATATCAGAATAGGTATGTCTATCGTTGTGGTAATGCTGCTTCAGAGAAAATTTCAGATATAATCAGATCTGTTAAATTCAATGTATAAGAGATAAAATTTTGCATCAGAATATAAGAAGAGAAAAATTTTAAGATTTATTTTAATTGAAATTACTGAATTTAATTTTGTCAGTGAGTGATATCTGAATTTATTAGTAGATTTATCTGAAGAGCAAATGAACTTGCAAGCAAAGAGAACTGTACAACTTGTAAGAAAGCAGAATGAGCTTCATTATGCAATGAGTATATGCCTATTGGTGAAACAGCTCAAATTCAAGAAATAAGTGTTGTACTAGTATAGTGTAGAAGGTAATGGAACACAAAGTTGAATATATTTCTGACCTCAAATTTTCTCATGTAATTGGTAAGACAATCTCCACATCTTCATCTTCTTCTTTCTCCTACAATGTAAAACCCTTCAAAAAGCTATTTTTTTTAGTGCTGTTAGTCCCGTACGAATTGCCTTAGTCCCGGACGAACTGAAGAAAATTGTGAAGAAATCTGTCATTTTCGTCTGTACGAACCTGGAACAGTCAGGACGAACCGTCAGTACGAACTGAAGAAATCTGTATGGTTCGTCTGTACGAACCTGGAAGGGTCGGGACGAACCGTCGGTACGAACCGAGATAGAGAGTTTCATCCAGGGGCGAAAATTTGGAATTTAATTTTCGTCTGGACGATTTGATCCAGAGAAGATCGTCCCGGGACGATCGGGACATCGTCCGGGACGATCCTGCTTAATAAATATCTGAATAGTGCCGATTTTGAAGAGAGAGAAAGCCCAGGAGAGAGAAAAACGAAGGGAAAAGAAGAAAAGTGGATTTTTGGGCGACTTCAATCTGTTTTCGTCCGTCGCCGTAGTTGGGAAAGTTGACCGACTCGAGGTAAGACACATTCCGCCTTTCTCAATTTTCAGAAACGAGATTTTTGACGTACTTTCTGTTCCGAATTTCGTTTCCGTTAGCGAATTTCTGGTATTATTTTCTTCCGACAAAGGTTTTACATCGTAACTTTTGGTGTGTTTCTGAGCTGATAATTATGCACGTTTTGGATATTTTCTGGAAGATTTTTACCGGATATTTTGAATTCTGTGGCGTTTTAATTGATTTGCAAATTATCAGGATGTTGAAAAATGTTTTGTCAGTACAATGGAAGTCTTATAATGTTGTTGTGAATATTTTGTGATAATTTGGTAAATTTCTGAATCTGTGAATTTTGTGTAAATTCCGTATACTGCCGTTATGCCGCTGGTTTTTCGTACGAATTCTGCTTTTGTCCTGAATTGTACATTGAATGAATTGATTAATTGTATGCTATCAGAAGGGAGTTATAAGGGTTCAGAATCCTATGTGATTCCGTTGTCTGGGTCCGGGAAGGGAGACATAAGGGGAAGTTCTGAAATATGAAATTCTGTATATCTGTTCTGTTCTGGTGCTATAAGCACAAAAGGGAGCTATAAGGGAAAGTTCTGGTGCTATAAGCACAAAAGGGAGCCATAAGGGGAAGAGGGAAAGTTCTTACATCTGGAAGGAAGTTCTGTTCTGAAATTATCTGTTATGTAAAACTGTAATGTGATTATTTCTAATTTATTTATGTACGATTCTGATTTATTCCATACGATCCTATCTGATCTGTGATTTGAAGCTTTGTGATCTCTGTTCTGAACTCGGATTTGGATATGACTCCAGTTTTCTGTATCTGGTGTATGATTTCTGATTGATCTGTTATCTGTTCTGTCTGTTATATGATTTCTGTACGATTGTTCGAATTCTGTACGGAGACTTTTCTGATATGTTTTCTGATGTGAGTTTCTGATTATTTTGATTGGTGAGTGATGTTTTGCTGAGCTGTTAGCTCATCCTTATTTTCTGCGTGATTTTCAGGTTCTGGGAAAGGGAATGAAGTCTTGGATTAGCAATCCTGTGTCTGATCTGAGATTAGGTACTTTATACTTTTGATTTTTGTGCAGTCATGACTTTTCTGTTATATTTTGTTCTGTTCTTTCTGTCTGTAGTTATGCACTGTATCTGTATATGATTATTTTGATAAAAGAAAAGATAGATGAATTGTTATGTATTTGAATGTTTATAGTAGCTCTGTGTTTTTCTGTCTATTTAATATTTGGAAGAAAGTCTGAAGCAAATTCCAAAACTAGATCCTGGATTTTCAATAGTTCCGTCGCGGTCCGATGCGAGCGGGATCCGTCCCGGTCGGGTTGGGTCGTGACATACAATAGCAAAGATAATTGAATGTTCATATATAAGTTGTTTGGGATACCAAACAAATGTGTTCTACCTCATGAATAAGAATTATTACCTTAACCCTTCCCTTCAGGCCATAGTGGCAACGAACCCAGTTGGATCCACATAAAAGAGCTTGCACAATGTCAACCCCTAATTTTGATCGATATGTATCAACTACTCTTTCTCCAGCTGTTGCCCGTGAATATTTCACAAAAAAAGGTGACATACTCTTCAAAATTAAATTGAATCCAAATTCTTCAACAATTGAAAATGGTTTCTCATTAATTAATATATAATGTGCAATCATCTCCCTAACTTTTTGATGATCATATTTAAAGGTGGTCAACATTCCACCATCTTGACTGCTTTGGGAGAATGAGTTCTCTAAATCTGTTGGTTGAAAATGTAAAATTTTCTGTTTTTTTAAGGCACGAATCCTAGCAGCACAATAGTTCAAATGCCTTTTAAATTGTGTAGTAGCACTAGTAACTCTAATAAGTAGTTGTTTTTTACAATGCACACATTCTCCTTTTCTTTGCCCAGCTGGAAGAATTACTTCCTTAAATTCATCCCAAACTTTGGATCTTTTTTACCTTTTATTTTTTCCTATAATAACATCAACTTCATCAATATCATTTACTTGATTTTCATTAGTCCACTTCTCGACCTCTTCGTCAATCCCATTGTCATCAATATGTGTATTATCCTCATTCGCAGGTTGACTACCAACATAAGAATGAATATGATTATCAAGTCTTTCAATCCCGGTATTTGCAGGTTCAATATTATCTCCTTCCATACTTACTGGTGTTGACATTCTAAACAAAATAACAATAGCATGAAAATTGATGACATCTATAAAAAAAAACTGATAGAACTACCAAAACTCTCAACAAAAACTATAAGAATTGTGAAAGAGTAAAAATATAACTGTTAGCAGCCAAAAAAAAGCCTCATCTAACATTTAAAATATGAAAAAAAAAAAATTCTATGAACATATATCTAAACTAAACTCAACAGATCTGCTTTAAAAAAAATTTCAGAAAAATTCTACGAAGACTTGAAGTTTGCTGTTTCAATTTTATGAATGCTCAATGAGCCAACAAGCCGTCAACATCTCTATCATCATACCAGTCAGATCAAACAATAAAAACTAAGCAAAATCCTATTTGCATAAATCCTCAATCATTCTTGATAGGCTGCATAATCAATAGCCATATTCAAAATTTCAGAAAACCCTCACTTTAACGGAATAAAAAGCACTCCCCAAACATGATACTCTAACGGAATTAACACAAACATGAATAAATTTCATGTACATAAAAAGTAAACATGAATTAAGCGTTGGATAATTTGTTATCAATGGAATAAAAAGCACTCCCCAAACATTTCAGAACTGTTTAAAAAAAAAAATTCAGAAAACCCTCACTTTGCTGCTATAGGATAACAACGTCATCTGTTTTAAAAAAAAATTCAGAAAAGTTTTGGATCAGAATATCTAAACAAAAATCACCCAAAGAAAAAGAAAATCCACTCATCCATACATCCATCAATTCATGTATAAACAAATTCAAGTGAAGACATGAAGTTTGTTGTTTCCAAAACAAAGAAGCTCAAGCCTCAAATCGTCAATCTACGTTAAAAAAGAAGAGAAGAAAAATTACCTGCCGGCTCACCACTGATTTGAGAAAATCTACATTAAGAAAAAAAAAAGGTAAATCTACAGAGATTGAGAAATCAACACAAAACCCTCACTTTGGTGATTTTAGAAATCAACATAGAAAGAAAGAGGAATGAGATGAACTAAAGAAAGAAGAGGGGAAAATAAAACCAGTAAAAGAAAGAAGAAAATACCAAAGGGAAGAAAATACCTGCCGTCGGCTCACCGTTGCAGTCGCGTGAGAGAGGGCCAAACGAGACCTAAGAGGGGTCTTTGCGTGAGCGAGGGCCAGACAAGACCTAAGAGGGGTCTCGACTCTCGACTCTCGTCTCGTATGAGAGCATGACGGCGCTGCTTCGAGTCTTCAACCGAGGGAGAAGAGAGACTGGGTTGCATGATGCGGCTAGGGCATGAGGAGGGCGAAAAATATTACGAAAAGAGCGGGCCAAGATTTTTTTTTTTAACCGTATAGCATATATTATGTAATAAGATTTTAATTTTCTTAAAAAAATAATATTATAAATATAATATATATAATATAATCGAGTAGCTTGATAAGCTTTCGAGTCGAGTCAGGTTGAGCTCGAACTCGAGCTCGTTTATCATTCGAGCTCGATTATAGGCTCGAGCTCAAGCTCTAATAAGCTCGCAAGCTCAGCTCGTCAGCTGGAAAGCGAGCTTGAGCTCGAGCTCGTCCCAATGTTATCGAGTCCAAGCAGGCTCGCGAGCCTCGGCGGTCCGGGCAGCCTTCGAGCGAGTCATCCTCATCTGTGTCATCCCGTCGAGCTTGCCATCGGAGAAGACATTGAAAATAAAATCTATTTTTTTTTTCATATAGGGAGAAGAGAAGGCTTGCTATAGCTTTTTACCTTTCCCCAAAAAAGTAAAAGTAAGCTGCAGCATTTTACCTTTCCCAAAAATAATAAAAGCAAGCTCAGTAGTTTTCATTAATTTGATTCAAATAAAAGTAACATTATATATTATTTTATGGTAGGAAATACCAAATTGCAGGTTGAGTTTTTTGTAATTCCCACCCGATGACCCGCCTTCTTCATTTTGAATTACCGCCTTAAATCATTTATATTTTTTTTAATTCAAATAATCAATCGAGCTTGGCTCGCGAGCTCTCACCGAGCTCGAACTCGAGCTCGTTTAGCAAACGAGCTCTCGTTTAAGCTCGAGCTCGAGCTCGCGGCTTGATAAGCTCGGCTCGCGAGCTCGTTAACGAGTCGAGTTCGAGCCGGCTCGGCTCACTTACACCCCTGCCCACGCAACCGCCTCTTCTCCTCTAGTTTGATTTCTTGAGCAAGAAGCTTCCTCCACCTTCACCTAGCTCTGATACCAATTTGTTGAGATTTCTTGGAAGAAGATGAAGCTCATTAAGCTTCTTGGAAGAGAGGGAGGAGAGGGAAGAATGGGAGAGAGCAAACTGAATAGATTTCTTTATTGATTGGCTTACTCTCTATTACAGCCTATTGCTCTTATTTATAGGCAACTGGCTACACAAAGCAACACACCAAAGGCAATATGAGCTATACAAGAAACTAAAGAAAGTAAACAAAAATCTGGACCAATATCTAACAATTTACAACCACCATGATTGAATCCACTCCACATTTGTTTAGTAATCCTAAAGCAAAGTCAAGACTAAAATCTTCTCAAATGGATTTCACAATTGGCAATTGAGTATACTAGTGTTTTGTGTTCTTCCTTTGTACACTAGGTAAATATGACATCTTTCCACATACTAGCAAACATCTCTCTGAACCAAAAGAATATAGCCTGTAATAACTACAGTGTTTTATCTCTTCTTGTATGAGCCACAAGTCCTTCAACGTGCATTTTCTTTACTAACTATGTCCGGTTTGAAGTATTGTATGATCATTGACTGAAGTGTGGTTTTTACATCGAGAAATTCCAATAATTTTTATTTGATTAACCACGAGTATGCTAGCTTGTCAGTTGAGTGCATTTGCTATCCTATTGGATGTGCCAACTTTATGCTTGGGAGCAAAGCTTAATTTTTGTAAGAACATCAACCATTAACCTTACATATGATTTGAAATTTTCAAAGAGTGTAGAAATGGGAGAGATTGATGGTCGGATAAGACATATTTTTGATGTAGTAATTAATATTCTCATCTTTTAAGAACACGAACAATTCATCAGTGTGATTGCCGAAGCGATTATGCCGAATGCTTGAATCTCTTGTCGCAATCCCATGACCAATTACCTGTAGTTTGATGCCAACATTTGTTCAAGAGTCGATTGAGCTACTTGTAAAGTATCCAAGCCGTGATCATCACCATGAGTTTTGTTCTTGCTGCTGTCAGCCATGTATTTGATGTCAATCTGGTATAGATACCGAACAACAAAGAAAAAAAAATAGAGAATTCCAGGAAATCCTCTTTCTATTCGGGTAATAATTATTTATGTTAGAAAATATCAAAATTTGCCTCCTTACAACAAATTTGGTTATAATATATATATATATATATATAAGACATTAAATGAAGAGAAAAGTAAACGGAGGTTCGGTGAACTGAATTAGATGACCTTCAAGGGAAAAATAGGTATTCTCGTATGATTAAGACTGTAGATGGCGGAAAAGATGAGGACTTAATAAAAACATATTAACATAATCAATTAATCACATTCTCTTATTCGGGTTTCCCTTGATTTCCTTCTCTTGCATTTTACAGCCACCTAGTTTAAGGTGCTTGCTTACAACACCATTATACTGCCTTGCTTCGTAAGCTTCAATTTCTCATTTTCCTTCAAAAGATGATATTGGAAAATTGTTAAGCAACTTATCTATTTTAAACCGTCTTGTAGCACTGTATTAGAATGATTTTTAGCGTGTCCATGGTCCATGGTCTCCATCAACATCATTGCTTTCAACTATGAATTTCAGAGCATTTTATCTCTTTGACTGTTATATTGGTTGGTTGGTTGTGCTGGTTGCTTAAATTATTAAAGGTATCTAGTCCACAATTTGGTTCATAACTGGAATGTTACAAATAATAGCAACTGTTTTTGTTTGTATACAATTTGGTTCATGACTTGGTTTTGAACTTGATTATTTCATTTGGGATTTTGGTCGCTCATATAGATGGATTTTCACAGTAAAATGTTGCTTGAAATTTTTCTTGGAATACTTTTTATTATATGGATAAAATTCATGCTAGTGATTCGTTTAGATCGTATGCTAAAATATTGCTTGAATTGTACTGTAGTCTAGGAGTTCATGGATACAATCAGTTTTTATCATTATGAAGTTTTTCATTGATTGATGAAACATTTCAAACGAGTTGCATGAAAATTTGAGCTGTGATTGTTGATTCTATGAACTAAGCTCATTTAGCCATAACCAAAAGAACATTATTTGATGACAAGGCAGCTACCAGTTACCGCTCCTATAGCGCTGAATTATTTGAATATATTTCTTTGAATCATTTAATTGACTGTCATTATTTTTGTGCCAAAGTTGACTTCTTTTTTCTTATGTAGGCATGCGTATGATGCATTTCTCTAAGACTAGTTTGTTATGGTTTTGTGTGCTTCTGATTTTATTCCTGTATAATATAATTGATATTTTATTTTTGTTCCTTGTTCATAAGAGTCCTTATTTTGGAAAAAAAGTTTCTCGATAAATCTTTATATTTATAAATCTATACAGTCAAAGGTTATCTGTTTGGATAATTTGAGACTGCTTCTGGAAACGTTTCAGCTGTGGCAAATGGTAAATCATCCCTTGGCGGAAAGGACACAGGGATGAGTGCCATCCTCCACCTGTTGATCATTTTAAAGGCCAGCCTCATTTTGCAGATTTAAAAGGAGGGCAAGCTGAAAGGAATGATGAGCACTGCAGTGCTTATCAAAATATCTCTATTATGAATTCTGGCCAAGCTGAAGAAACAATCATTGGCGACAGCAGGCCAGAGATTGATGGAAAACTAGATGATGTGGAATCTTTTGAAACATCCTTCAATTAATCAGTGCCATCAAAGTCTGATCTCTCTTCAGAAACATACAGTCAGATTGGCAATGTTAGGCAGAAATCTTCTGCAAGTACTTCTGGAAAGCAATTTGCTACTTCTTTGATCGACTCCTCTGCTTCTGCTGACTGCACATTGCCCAGCCTTGGAGAGATCCCTCATGTTGCTACTTCAAATGCGGGCCTTACTGGAGCACAATCTGGACAGCATTCCAACGCAAGTTCTTCTTATGTTTCCTTTACTAACCCAAAGAAATCTTTTTGCACTATTCTTGAGAGCTCTAGAACTTTTGTTGGTTCTGAGAAGGTAAATCTTCCATCCTTTCCATATGGGATAGCGAGTGCAAACATTTTTTATAATGCCTCCTCAAATGACTTTAAACTGCAGTCGACTTTTATAATGAGGAAGCTAAGTGCAAGTTGAATGGTCCTTCAAATATGAAGTCCTCTAGCTCAAACAGATCCTTGAATGTTCGGCTTTGTCAGACTAGTAACTCTAGGACTACTACTTTATGTTCCAAAACATTAGATAAATTTGAAAATAATTTTTCTGATAACCATAATGAATGCCAGGAGACTGCAGTTGAAATTGTCGGATCTGCTGATATAAATGAATCCCATACTCACAAAAATAATCAAACTCAGGTGGATGCTATGCTTCATTCAAAAGGGTCTCTTAATGTTTCTAACTCAAAATCCTTTTCATCCACAGCAAGTCCAGCTACACTTGAGCCTACAGCTACAAAAGACTCAAGCTTTGAAAAATCATGTAGTGTTACTTATGGGGAGAAAAATAAAGAACAGTTCAAGTTTTTATCTTCTTCCTTTGACGATAATTTATCTCCATTAGTTCAAGGTACAACATTGTAAGAGAAGGGCCTCATGTTGTTGAAAATGATCCTCATGTTTCAACCAAATCATTAGAGGTTTCCAACTCTTTATTAAATGGTAAGATATTTGTCGGCAAACGTGCTAGACAAATTTCATCATCACCACTTAGGCATGTTCAGCCAGGGGCTTGTAACTATGGATCTCTTAAATACAACTATAAGGTACTATTGTTCTTGCTATGAGTTTTTAAAACATCCTGCTTTCACATACATAGTATTTTGATTGTTTATATCTTCCTATGTCACATTAGATGCTTTTTGCGTACGACCTCTTCATCAAGCTTTACAACTCTGATAAGGTGTGGTTGAACCCCTGTGGTCTGATTAACTGTGGTATTAGGTAATGTAATATCTTTGCACATTTAAATTGACTTTGAAATATCAGAGCCTGCCATGCAATTTGGCTTGCTTCATACTTGACTATTTAATTTTGTACAAAATTAATGCTCTTTTCAATGATTACAACATGTGTTTGTTATTATCTGTAATCTTAGATCAACTGCCTCTGAGTTCAATGCTTCATGATTTTCGTTAAAATGACGAATCATCATCATCGTCATTAGGTATATTCTAAACTTTTCAATTTAACTTTATGATTCCTCATATTCCGTTCCTTCTTGCTAACTATTATTTCTTTTGGTGCTAAATATATTATTTACAAATTATTTTGAACAATTCCTATTTATTTTATCTTTGATCTACCATTTTTCCTTCTTAATCTCTAAACAATAATTATCTATCTGTTTAATGTGCAATTTTTATGCTTTGTTGTGCGAGTTTAAACCACCTAAGTTTATTTTTTTTCAAAAGATTCCCTTTTAGCAATACTTCTAATTTAATTATTTTTTTAGTTAAATTTTCCTAACTTCATTGCATATTCATATGATGGTTCAATTTTTGCCACTTTGTGTTATCAATAGCTATTTTATTTGTCCAATACTCAAATCCAAACTATATACTCGCTACAATTTAATTTTTTGAAATTTACTTATAAGTTTTTTTTATATCCTCTTATCATATAATACTTCCATGATACTATATTTTAGCCACAAAACCTTAACTTTAGAATTTATAGTCTCCTCATGCCTTTAGTCTTATGTATAATGTATTCATCATACTTAAACCTATCAAACTTATGTAACACTTTATCTTTTAATAATGTTGGCTGATAATTGCAAATGTCTTCTCCAGTAAAATTTTATATCATATGCTCAATATATCTACTAATTATGCACTCTATCTTTTCTATACATTTTCGTAATTACTCTAAATTTTCTTTTATCTTAACAGACGTCTCACAAATTAGGATTTTATCTTTTGTGGTAAGCATATACTTGGGCAACTGAATTTGTACATTCTTAATAAGCATTTTCATAACTATAATACAAAAAGATATTGACTCAATGTTGATCTTTGATGTAATCTTTTTTTAGTTGGAAGCTTTGTCCCCAACTACTTCTGATACTATTATAATTGCAATTGCTTCATTGTACTTATCTTTAATTAATTTCCCATACTTTTGACATATATCCTTTTTTTTAGTTCGCACCAATTATTTATTTAGTTCTTGGTCATAAGCTTTTTCAATATCATGAAAAAGTCATATGAAGATCCATTCTCTTTTATCATCTCAATTTAAAAAATTGCTTCAATATTCAATCATCTTGGCATGAAACCAAATTGATTCGTTGATTGATGTAGTTTGTTTTAAGTCTTTATTTTGTCATTATCTCTTATAACTTTATTTTTTCTCATATATTTGATTCCTTTGTACTCTCTTTAAAATGAATAATTAACTAAAATATTGCTAGATTCTTTTTCTTAATATAAGATTTTAAGGCTTATTTGATGATGATGATATGCTAAGCTTGAGCATGGGTGTTATTACTCTATTTGTTTATTATCTCTATTTGTTTACCAGCTTATATCCCCCCATGTTTCCTTATTGAGCTTCTTGCTTTGATAATATATGCTGTCCTTCGTAAGGTGTCTTTGTAGACCTCTTCAAATTAGTTGTTATATTTATGTGATTCTGATACTTTTTTTTTTTTCATACGAAGTTCACAATGTATTATTTACCAAGAATTATTTTTTAATACTTAGAAACTTTATGATGCAGGACAACTTGTTTTAGAGTTTCTGATTAAATCAACAGCATGAACACGAAAGTATGCTCATAAAATTAAATTCATGATGTACCAATATTTTGTTTGGACAAAAAATTCATCTATTTTGATGAAAATGAGAAAAAATATGCAAAATTCATCCAAAATGATTATATGGCGGTTTACCAAATATAATTTTTTTGAGAAATTTGAGATCAATTGAACCACTATACAATTAAGATTCGCATTGCCATAAAAATTCATATTATAATTGTGGGTTCCAAAAATTCGTGCCCCGGCCTCTCTATGACTTCTGAAAATTTACCCTTTTTTTTTGTTGGCGATGAGAGTTTTAATGAGTTTATGTTTCAGGGTAAATTTTCAGAAGTCATATTAGGTTTTTAGATAAGATATTACCAGAGATTTCGCCCTAAATTTGCGAGGACTTTATGATATGAGTTCTGGTTTCTTATAGGCGCAAGCCCCTATAGTTAATTACCCATCCCGATAATGAGAGAACTTTTGATTAAACCTAGTTGTTGGATAAACACTAAATACCAAACATATGCCAACAGCATAATTAGATATTGAAAATTGAAATTTTGTCACCGTGTACTTAAAGCAGATGGTGAGGGAATGATGATGAACCTCATCAAGATCTCATGGTTCCATCGTTCTGAGTCATCATGATCCTTAGTCTACTTAGTCAGAAGAAGTAGTCGACCCAACCTGACCGAAGAATCCTTTTCGGCAGTCATGAGTTGCTTCATACAAAGGTACCTTGTAGACTTGAGGTGAATGTTTGCCTAAGAGGACATATTTGAGTCCACCTTAGTTAACAAAGGGCTTTATGCCTTATCAATTATACCATATTGATTAATTACTAAAAAAAATTTGAGCCATTGGGGAACATACGGAATTTGGTCGTGATCATAATGTAGTGGTATCATTTGGCGATAAAATCTCCCGGTCAGAGGGGCCCAGTCATAACAGTTTACTTGTGATGTCATTTGGTGGTGAAACCACCGGCTAGAGGACACGTTCCACATTCTTACTGACAAGAGATGGCTTGATGATGAATCCGAGTTATATTTTAGACTAGACATTCGTTGTTGTTGTTGTATATACATACCAAGGAATACTGATCTTTGCAAAGAGCCATTGGATTTGTTTTTGGATACCGAAGACATGCTAGGTCAATTGAGTATTTACCATTTGAAAGGTCATCAACATATCCACAAATTCATCATTGAAAGGAAACCTCTAATCCAATCTCAGAGTATTGTTCAAATAAACACACCTTATTAGTTTTATATGAGTTGTGTGTTCTCTCATCTCTCCTAGGAAATCCTAGAATGAAATTGTTTGTATAATGTTTTTTATTCTATTTTTTTAGGCCCTTGGTGTTGATTAAGCGTCAGAACTTGTAGGGCATAGAAGTTGCTGGTGAAGTTTATAACTGTGTTATGAGTATCTTTTTAGAGAAGCAACGAGGAAGTAGAAAACATGAGAAGCAAGAGTAGAAATGAAGAAACAAAAGGGCATAAATGTTTTGTACATCTTACTTTTGAAAATCCTAGAAGAATGGATACAATTTTTTGTGGAAAAAAAGATGCATTAATGACAATCAAATCATTATGATTATGCTAATTAGCATATTTTTCTAGGCAAATGGTGGTTAACATCAAGTTGTTATTTAAGGAATGTAAAGAAATATTACAAAAGGAAGAGTCACTCGAGCATTTAAGTCAACAGAGGAGTTAATATCTAAGTTCCTCTCGATAATGATTATTTTTCCTCAGAAACTCAGTTAATCTCAGGAACTCTTAGTTTTTCTCTCATTTATAACATATACTACATATCATTTGTCAAAGACAAATTCAGTTGCGCAAAAAACTTATATTAGAGAAACATAATTGCATTCATCAGAGTAAAAAGTACGTCATATTACATCATTTCTTTTCAAGACAAAAAAAAAAAAACAAAAAACAAAAAGAAAGCAATCCAAAATAACTTAGCTTGCCGAGAAGACCTACAATGAGAACATCTATCCTTTGGGAAATAATATTTTGGTTAATATTTGAACTAGGTCCATTTGTCAGATTCTCCAATTTGTTTAGGAGAATTTTTCGTTAGTGAACCGCTTGAGACTCTTATTTCTCAGTCTTTGATTAGAAGAACCTTTGGCCATAGGTGCAAGACTACGCATGACAAGCATTATTCTGGTTTCCTCCAATCTATTGAGAGATCGTCAGGAAGTCCAGAATCCAGGAGAGCATCAATTGAAAAGTATTCTAGTGATGCAACAACACAAATGTCCATTTTTAAATACTCGATCTTGATTTTGCTCAGGATCGTAAAGTCTAGTGAACCAATAATATTCAAGTCATTCAACTTATAGCTGAAAGTTTAAAACACTTCCAAAATATCTTCAAGCCTAGAATGTTGCAATTGGTCAATTGGTCAAAGATAAGCATAGTTGATACGTTGACAAAAAATTATCTTGATCGGGCACGAATCTCGATGCAAAATACAGTTAGAAACTTTCGAAATTAAATTCGGAGACCATCTGAGCTCCGATTTCAGCAAACTTACAGTCAAACTGAGCGTCTTGGAAATACAAACCCAACGACGCCAAATTCGACTCAATTCGAGCCCAAATGGGTCCAAATCAAGGACCCGAAGCGCTGTTGGAAGGTTCAAACCACAATTTGGATTACCAAACGGTTTCCAAACATAATAAGCTTATACTCGAATCGAGCGGCTCGACGAGACAAATCCAATGAGCCCAAGATCGCCAAATTCCGACATCATTAAGGCTTCAAATGCCTAAAGAACAGTGCATGATCAAGGGATTCAAGATCGGCCGTTCATCCGACCACTCCCCATTTACCCTGATCTCTCACTTATTTACAGGTCATGCCACTCCAGAAATCTATAAATAGAGCTCCCTCTCCTCTTGAAAAGAGGACCCAAGCTTAAGGAAAAAAGAGAGAGATCGGAGATCGCTCTTGCTTCCTTTCCTCCTCGACCACCACCCGAGTTTCGCCGGACCACCACCGTTGTTCCGCCGGACCACCACTTGAGGCCCTCACCTCCGCCGGACCACCGCCCGACGCCGTTGCTCCGCCGGACCACCACTTGAGGCCTTCACCTTCGCCGGACCACCGCCTGACGTCGTTGCTCCGCCGGACCACCACTTAAAGCCCTGTGCTCCACCAGGCCATCACGTGAGACCCAGACTTCCACCGGACCACCACCTGACGCCCATACTTCTTCCGGGCCACCACTTGACTCCGAGAGTTATCCTGAAACACCGCCCTCCTACTACAGTCTTTCAGACCCCTATCCTCTGCCGACTACGGTCCTCCTGACATCCGTCGCCTACTATGGTCACTCCGACCTCCATCATCAGACAATGATCTTTCAGACCCCGATCTCCTGCCAACAACGGTCTTTCAGACCCCAGTCTCCTGCCAACTACGGTCCTTCTGACCTCCGTCGCCTACTATGGTCATTCCGACCTTTATCACCAGACAATGGTCTTCCAGACCCCAGTCTCCTGCCGACTACGGTCTTTTAGACCTTCGTCGCCTATTATGGTCCTTCCGACCTCCATCAACAGACAACAGTCTTTCTAACCCCGGTCTCCTTCTGACTATGGTCATTCTGACCTCCGTCGCCTACTATGATCCTTCCGACCTCCATCAACAGACAACAGTCTTTCTGACCCCGGTCTTCTGCCGACTACGGTCCTTCTGACCTCCGTCGCCTAATATGGTCCTTCCGACCTCCATCAACAGACAACGTCCCTCGGTCTCCTGTCGACTACGGTCCTTCTGACCTCCGTCGCCTACTATGGTCCTTCCGACCTCCATCAACAGACAACGATCTTTTTTACCCCGGTCTCCTGCTGACTACGGTCCTTCTGATTTCTGTCTCTTGCCGACAAAGGCCCTTCCAACCAAATAAACATGCCTATGTTGATTATTGTAACTCCTACCATGTAATGCGCTCTAGATGATGTATATTTGTATCATCAAGCCGAGGCCTTCTCCCAAGGAACGGCCTCATTTGTAATCAACTGCAAATACTAGTTGATTCATTCAAACTGGGCCAGGACCCGTGGTTTTTCCCCATATTTCAGGGGTTTCCACGTAAAAACTCTGGTATCACTTATGAATGCTACACCTCTCTCTTATCTGATTGTGTGCTGGATCTTCGTATAATGCTAAGATGTTAAACTATATATTTTATCTACCGCCGCGAATACTCCATGACGCAACAATCGTAATCTCGCTAGTTTACCCAATGATATTAATGATTGTGGAAGCAAGAGCTGGTACCATCTCAGGAAAGCAGGCCAACCATTACTGTTCCTCTTAGGAAGGTCTCAACTATAACATCATTATGGAGGCATTATAAGCTGTACATGAATACGAATGTGTTGCAATCATAATTCCTAGAATTAATGAAGAGATTAACAATGATCCAATTGGGCACAACGTCTACACAACATTAGGAATCAATTAAGAAGTGTTAGTTCATTTCTCGAGATAAGGTATATAAAATAGTGCTGCTATAATCTCTCGAGGTCCAAACTATAAATATGAGCTATCTATTATCCTACTATGTTTGATCTACAACCCAATTATAATATAGCTACAACATAAAGTTACATTTCAAAATATTTCCACGTCATAGTTACTATTGTACCTAGTGTTACGAGGGATCCGAGGTATATTTGTGCTATTTTTCTTATATATTATTATTATTATTACTCTTCTACAATGGATACAAGCCTGTCTATACGACCAAATCATTTAAATTTGTATCTTTTATGGTGTATTTTCCCTTTCCATTTAAATCATTGTTTGTTTCCCTCATTAGGTCGTAGAGTAAACCAGACTTATGAGGATTTCACCGAATCTGTAAATGGTGAGCCTGGTCATATAAATTGTAATAGCCCTTTTAGATTCTCAGAAGACTCGGATGGATTAACTTGCTCGCCGAACTCGACCGGAAAAATGGATTCACCTGATCTCAGTCCCTTGGATTCAAGAATGGATAAGTGGATTGGTAGGGGTGGGCAGGTGGGACTCCAACGAAATTAGAACCTGCCATTTTCGTACTACACTAAACACTGTAGGAATCTAACAGAACAATCCAGCAATAGAAGTGAGACTAATTGGGTTAGCTCTAGTGAGATAAAGCCTACTGTATTATTGAAAAGGTCCAGTAGGGATAGAATTGCCCAAACATTTTATTAGCTAGGTTTGGGCTTGAAAATAAGATTTATTTTATTAAGGTTTGTATAGCTAGGTCAATGTAGAAGTGCTAGTGGGAGCGCGTTAATTCTGATTGCAAAGTCTTGCCATGCCTCAATTTCTTTTCTTATGCCCTTTGTCTGCCATGTCTTCCTTGAGATAAACAGGCTGTTGACTGAGGCCCAAGTCTTACACAAAAGTGTCTCAGAAGCTGGGCAAATTATTAGGTGCGGACACCGGATGTCGTCCAGAGACTAATAAAAATGTGCCACGTCACTTCAAAAGTGTATCGCCCTCGGTACCGAGCTCGATACTGAGTAGTACCGCGCTTGGTACCAAGTTGTACTGGACTGGTATCCGCACAGAATAATCTCTCCAGAAGTTGAGAGCTAGGTTTAGAAAATGATAAAAAATCTGAATCTGCTCAACAAAATATAACACACGAGTCAACAATAGGATAAATTATTAGGTGTTTTAAATGCACATGGATGCAGGTGTGAACATGCATTTCTATGTATTATTGTGTATAAAATATATATCTTATCATACTAAGCTAACGTAATTATCATTCCAGTACTTGTGGCGACCACTGAATATTATCAATATTAATTTGCCTTTATCAAATCTATCCCGTTCATTTTTTTCAAATAACCGCCATGAAAGCCAGCTTGTGCGTTTACCAGAGGTGCAGCTTGCGGCTTCTATAAGCATCAAGGCTTAGATAAATTCTGGAGCAAGTCATTAAATTTTCGGTAATTTTTAGAAAAATGCTATACGTTGACTAGATTGTATAAATTTGCTTGTTATAAAAACTATTGATAGTAATCTTCAACTAAAAAATTTAAATTGAACGTGATAGTAATCAAGAGAATAAAACTGAAAAAAAAAATTGTATGAAATATTTTGAGAGTAATATTTATTAAACATATACAAATTATATATAGAAATAAAAAAAAGGAGAGTGTTTTTGTAATTTTGCATAATTTATGTTTTTATACTGTGAGAACTTAATGGTAAATCATTAATGGTATTTTTACATACATAACACATAAAATTATTGAAAATACATATTTAACATCTAAACTTTTATATTTACTAATATACCATCTAAACCGCCTCTTTTAATCAATTCTAACATTCCGTTTAAACCTTCCATCAAAAATCACTATCAACTACCGTCTTCCCTGTCAATGACATCCTTTCACAGTCAATACAAGTAACTCATCGCTTCAATGCAGTGGTAGAATAGAAGTAAAAATAGATTTTATGCGGTATATTAGTAAATATAGAAGTTTATGTGTCAAATATGTGTTATGTATGTAAAAACCTTTTAATATATTGTAAAATATATAATAGAGCTTGCTTTATAATTCCATGAAAATTACTTTCTACACTGAAGAAAAAAAAAATTATCTTACATCAAGAACTAAAAAAATTAGTTAAGAATATTCTCATGGAAATGAAATTCTTTGCCATAATAATGACAGGGAAGACTAGCTAGGAAGCTGCGAGTAATTGTTCGCCATTATGAACAACATTGCACTCAACCATTTCTGTTTCCAGTCTGCAGACGTAACTATCAGGCAAATTGCAGGCGGCAGGCTACCAACTTGCGTTGCCATCATCACCGCACAGCGACTCCAACCAACTAAATCTTTCAATGTCGATGAGCCGTTCACATGTGCGAGTGGCCCCAACCGCGCCAGACAAGCCCCGCCATTAGAGTCCACCCAGCTTTTATCCCTGCTTGGCTTCTAGTCTTCTTCTACGCCTTTCTCTTCTCCAAGTTCAAATTTCAAACCATGCATAGAGTACCACGTCGTTCAACAAAATTCCAGATTTGACCCAAAGCCATTTATCAATCGACAACTCATAAGGACACCTCTCCCCTCTTTCTCTCTATCCCCATCTCTTTCTCTTTCTTCCCATTATTCACAGTAGAAAAGAGGGCACTTCAGATCTGAAAGAAATGAAATTAAATTACCAACTTTTGCTTCTCTTGCACACAGTCGTTCAATAAAGGGCGAATTATTACGGTCACAGGTCTGGACATCAATTCAGACGCACCACATCACCAGGGTACATTGGGTCCTAGGAGTATCTGGGTGATGTGGCGCGTCTGGATTAGTGTCCGGACGAATCCGAACACCGGACGTAATAATTTTCCCTAATAAAGCTCTATGATGAACACAATGTAAAAAAAGAGCTGTGATTTTTGTAACCTATTGAAACAGTTCAGGCGTAGAAAGAAAGCTTTACATGCTTTGATAACGGATTAGATATATAAAAAACTTTAAGATTTAGAGTTGAACTTTTGCATTTGCATTTATAAAAAAACCATTACAATTAAGTAAAGTAAAGAAAGGGCCAGTTTAAGATTTAGAGATTTGAGTATTTTATTGATAATTATAAAAATTTAAATTATAGATGTATAAATATATAAGAAAAAAAAAACTGCTAAAATGGCTTCAAACTTAATGAAATTAGTTGAACCTATAACTACATGAATTTTTTATGCATTTTTTTTCTTTACTTTTCATAACTAAGCGTCATCATCAGACAGTCTAGATGCGAATTAGGAAGCGTCACGTCATCCTGGTACACAGTAAAATATGACATGGCATGTCCTGATTCGTTTCTAAATAGAGTCCGATGACCACACGTAATAATTTCACCTAATTTTGGTAAGCAATAGTTGCTGTCACTTTCTGCCGTCTTTCTTTGTGCTTACTCCACAATATGGCCGGCAACAAGCGCCAAACCTCTTAGAACTTTCTCTATTTAGGGAGTTCCATCAAACTTTCACGAATAGTTCAATAATTTCATATTAATTTTTGTTATTCCACACTTTGTGCATCTTTGATAACCTGTAGGGATTAATTATTTTGATTAAAACTAAGAGGAATAAGTAATTAGTACGCACAATTTTGTTGAAAACCAATGATGGGACATATTCTGGTGGCTACATGGGCATTTGTTTTTATTAGTTCGTTCGCTGCTTTTTGACTATTTCTTTCCATTTTCCAAACGTTGCTTGAGCTTTTGAGAAGTTCAAGAGGTTCACGCAACTTTGATTTCAGTTCACCAAATAGTGCAAATTGAGATATTGGATTTTTGTAAAATATGAACTTAGTTTATAATGTCATATTGATTAGAAATTTTATTTGCTTGCTAAGAAATATAATAGTATAATTGATAATTATGTTTGAAGCTCAATTTTTGTTTGCTAATCACACTATGAAGATGAAGATGACTTATTTGAAACTATTTTGATTCAAAACAAAATTGATATTGTTATATGATCTGTTTTAATTCATTGTTTGGAAGTGTGATATGATTGGGGATTAAAGTTGGATTAGATGCACTAATGGTCAATTATGTTCTTTCAAAAAAAACTTATTGATTTATGGGTAAAAACAATTCTTTTTTTTTTTTTGCACTAACATATTTTTGAACTGTTGATGTGAGGCTAAAACCAAGTCTTTTATGTATTTTAACTCTTATTGTATGTAAATTCCGTCGTCGAAATACGGTCTTTCAGACCATCTTCGTTCGACTACTATCTTTCTAATAATTTTCGCCCGCTGATTATGGTCTTTTCAACCTCTGTCACTCAATTATGTCCTTCCAACAACTTTCGTCCGAATACAATCTTTCTGACCACCGTCACCCATAAATTACGGTCCTTCTGACATCCGTTGCCCAATTATGATATTTTAGACCATCTTCAACCTATTACGGTCTTTCTAACCACCGTCGTCCATCGACGGAGGTCAAAACCATCGACTAAGATCTTTCTGACATTCGTCGCCCACCGACTACGGTCCTTCTGACCTTCATCGCTAGACTACAACCTTTCAGACCTCGGTCACCCAAGGAAGGGCCTCATTTGTAATCGACCGCAAAAACTACTTGATTCATTTAAACTGGGTCAAATCCCATGGTTTCCCCTTTTTGAGAGTTTCCACGTAAAAACTCCTATGTATCAAGAAGGCTACACGCTACTTGGTTAAATTCGATACAATTAACAGCTCTCTAAGAGAATTATCTGGCGGACTTTGTGCTAAAATCTTTGACCAAATAAAGATTATTTTTCCTGCCTGTTATAAAATATGTATGGCCAACATGGGAGCACACAAAGGAGGCCGGAGGCCGTTAATTGAGCATAATGATCTAACAATCTTACATATTCCTGGAAGAATACTCAGCTCACATAATCTTACTGGCATTTGAGCATTGATATATCATCAAAAAATTATCTTGATTGGGTACGAATCTCAAGGAAAAAATCAAGTTAAAAACTTCAAAAATTAAATACGGGATCACATGAACTCCGATTTCAGCAAACTTACAGTCGAATTGAACGTCTCAGAAATACGATCCCAACGACACCAAATTCGACTCAATCTATAAGCTCAAATTAGTCCAAATCAAAGATTCGAAGCGCATTCGGAAGGTTCAATTCATAATTTGGATTACCAAATAGTTTCCAAAAATGGCATGCTTAAAGTCGAATCGAGCGGCTCGACGAGACAAATCTAATGAGCCCAAGATCGTCAAATTATGATATCATTAGAGCCTTAAAATGCCTGAAAAATGGTCAACGATCAAGGGATTCAACATCGGCCGTTCATTCAAATCACTCCCAACTTACCCCTGATCTTCCTCCTATTTACTGGTCATGCCACTCTCAGAAAACTATAAATAGCTCCTCATTTCTCTTAAGAGGGGACCCAAGCAAGAAGAGAAGAGAATAAGAGAAGGAGAAAAGAGAAGGAAGAATTTCCTCCTCGACTACCGTTGGAGTTCTTCTCGACTTTCAAGTGACGACAGAGCTCCGTCTGATTTTCAAGTAACGCTGGAGTTCTGCCCGAATGCCACCTGGCGTCGGAGCTCTGCCCGACTGTCGATTGACATCAGACTTCTATTTGATGCTGGACTTCTACTCGACGTCAAACCTCAATTCATCACCGAATTGCTACCCAACGTCGGACTTCTACCGGACGTCAGACTTTTACTCGACGGCGGACCTCTGCTCGTCACCGGATCTCTACCCGATGTTGGACTTCTACCCGACACCAGACTTCTACTCAACGTCGGATCTCCGCTCGTCATCGGATTTCTACCTGACGTCAAACTTCTACCTAATGGCAGACTTCTGTTCGTCGCTGAACTTCTATTCGATGCAAGACTTATGACGTCCTAGATAAACTTCTACCCAATGCAGGACTTGCACCCATCGCCAAAATCCTATATGACATCGGACTTCTGATCGTCACCGAATTCATACCCAATGCTGGAATTCCACATGTCGCCGGATTCCTGTTAAACTTCGGACTTCCGCCCATCATCGGAATTTTGTCGGACTTTTACCCGTCATCGAAAATTCGTCGGACTTCTATCCGACGTTGGACTTATGTTCAATGCTAGACTTCCACGTAATGTCGTCCTTCCGACCTCCTTCATCAGACAACGATCTTTATGACCTCCGTCGCATGTCGACTATGGTCTTTTTGACTTACGTCGCCCACCAACTAAGTTCATTCTGACCAAACAAACATATTGACAGTAATTTTTAATTTTTTTATATTCCCACCATGTAATATACTCTATATGATGTACATCATGCCAAAGCCTTTCCCCCAAGGAAGGGCCTCATTTGTAATCAACTGCAAATACTAGTGGATTCATTCAAACTAGGCCAAACACTGTGGTTTTCCCCCTTTTCAAGGGTTTTTATGTAAAAACTCTCGTGTCTTATAAATATTGCACCCTCTCTATCTGATTGCAAGTTGGATCTTCGTACAAAGCTAAGACGCAAAACTTTATGTTTCTCTACCGCCACGAATACTCTAGGATGCAACAAACATGAAACCATTTCTGAATAATTTAGTAATAAGTTTCCATGCGCTTTGATTCAAAATATATCTCTTTTTATAATTCCAAATTGTCATTGTCATCAAAATTACAATCTCAAATAGGGGTGTCAGCGAGTCTAGCCGACTCGGGCTTAGCTCTATAAATTTGTCGCGAGTCAAGCTTGATGAGCTAAAAAATAAAGCTTGAGCCAACCCTGATGACTTTACTCATTAGCTCACGAGCATGGTCATTTGAAAATTATTGACATTGAAATGCACTTAAAATATATTATCATTCATGATTTTAAGTATAATGTTTTAAATAATATATTTAAGAAGAAATATATCACTTTCTTATATTAAGTGAATATTTTTAAAAAATAATAATAATTTTATTTAAATATTAAAAAAAAATTATTTTAATATATTAAAAAACTTTAGCGATTAAAATAGGATTTAGGGTTCAGCAGGAATGTAATTTAAAACATTTATATATATTATTTTAAAATAGGGTTCAGCCGGAATGTTAATAAAAATTTTAAAATTTAAATTTAAATAATTTTTCATTCTATTTTCTCTCTCTTCATTTGTGCCTCTCTCTCTCTCTCTCATTCTTCATCCATCTCTCTACCTTTTCTCTCCCTCTCTATCTTTCCATCCTCTTAAAAGCTGGAAAAAAAAAGAGCTTAAAAATTTTAGATGGAACTTAAAATATTAAAAAATTGAGTTTTAATAGAAAACGCAATTACTGTTCACGTTTTCTGTTAAAACGCAACTTTTTTTTTGCGTTTTCTAACAAAACGTGATTTTACAGTGCATTTTTGCTCCTTTTTAAATTAAAATTATATTATGCTCCTTCTCTTAATTCTTTTTTTAAACATGATCCTTTTAAAAATTTTCCCATTTAAATATCCCTTATAAAAAAGTTGTATAAACATTTATCCATTGCTGTGATGTATTGAAAAATTTACAATCACTGAGAAATCAGTCATATAATACAACTATGGAAGTCAATGTTTGATATGTAGACATAAATCTTATATATTTGCAAAATTATATATAATTCTAGAAGTATATATAAAATCAATATATCAAATAATTATCTAGATATGCAACTTTAAATATTTTTCAGTAATATATAAACTTTATCAAGCAAATCAAATAATTCTTAATAAATTATTTCATTTTGAGTTAAATCTATAAATTCAACTATATTTAATAATTACATTATTAGTATCAAATATTAATTAAAACTCAACTCCATTTGATCACAATAAGAAAATAAACAAAAAAATTTTTAATTTAAAAAAAAAATGAAAAAAAAATCAAATTATATTTAAGCCTTTATTAAACTAAAATAACAATGCAGTAATCGCTTATTTCACTGAGAAGCAGTTCTCACATAAAAATTAATTTGTATAGAAAGTCAAAAACAGAATCGTATTCCATATTAAAAGAAAAAAAAAAATAGAGATTCCGCACGTTATTTTACTGTTTGGCTCTTATAAGAGATTTGGGCGATCTCTGTACCGTCTGAACACGAAACGTGTACTATAGATGGCCAAAATGGGCTTAGATGAAGCTCCGACAACTCCCATCCTTATCCAAATCAGGTAATTATCATCCTCTCCAGACACATCCAAGCCCCACAACCGGCGTGTCGACACCGACCCGGCCGGTCACGAAGGGCACCCGATAATTCTAAATTCACCTACCGGTCACCCCACGCTGTAGGGCTCTACCTGTATGGCTGTCAAAGATTGCGGGCAAGCTGTTTTTTTTTTTTTTTTTTTTTTTTTTTTCAGAAATTGTAGGCTAAGCCCTTGTAAAAATTTAACCTTGTAAAAGTTTACGAGTGTGCTGCTATATAATAAAAGAGAAAATATGAGCGGCTAAAAAAAAAAGAGCAAGCTCACAATCCAAAATTTCTAAGAAGTAATCGAAAATCATTAAAAAAAAAAAAAACTAACTAGAAAAGCAATCAAATAGGGAGACACAAAAACCAACTACAAAAATAATAATACATCAAAGAGGAATGTGGGGGAGCCTTTAACCAAAATTAAACTTAAAGCCTAGACTCAGAAATTGGAGATGTTTAGTCAAAGTTTTCGGGCCATTGAAATCTATCACATTCAAAGCAGCTAAGCGAGGATGGTCAATGGGAATTTTGCGGGTTGCTAGGTGGCTTTTTTGATTGCTTGCTCCTATGAGCCTTTTTTTTAGTAGATGAGGGGTTTGAGAGAACTGTTTTCATGTGAGTATATGCAAGATATACATTTGGGCATCCGGCAGGGTAGAAGTAGGTCAAGAATCTTAAACCAAATGGGAATGGAGGTAAACTCCTCTCTTTTAGTTTTGAAGTTGGGAACCCGTTTTTGAAGGATAAATAATTTTCCCAGAAAGAACAAAACACCCCTAGTTAAAGCCATCTCATAGTCCTCGTGTGAGGTAAATTTCAACATGAAAAATTCATCATTAAGATAAAGCAATTGCATCATACCTTCAACTTCCATGAATTATGGATAGTTGAGAGGAGTGATTCGTAATAAGGCCGACGACGAATGTAGTAACCAATAAGCAACGTTCCCTATTCATCATAAGCAGTTTTGTTATGGACTTTTGTAAAATCAAGGGGATCATCCTTAGTGGGCGAGTGGGAGAGGGGAAAGGATTTCTCCGGGTTCCTTGGGGCAGCAATGATGTTGCATCAATTTAAAGCGAGAGGAGAGGAGGATGGAACAAATTTATTGGGAAGAGGGGGAGAATCGGTGGAGGACGAGAGATTAGTCATGGGAAAGCAAGAGGGTGTGGTGGAGCCCTCGGCTTGGCTAGCGAGGGAAAAATAAGGCCGGGGGGGAGGGGACATCACCAGCGGCGACTAGGGCAATGAAACCCTAGCAGACCCCTTCACAAAAAAAACCCACCTTCAAATTTCATGTCCTTATAGCCAGATGAGCATCTCATCTAGATGAATTCGACAAGCTCAAGTTCACTCAATTTCAATTGTATCAAGCCCTACATTTTTTCCCTAATAGATTTTTTTCACATAAAATTTTCTCTTATGAGTCACAATCTTCACATATATATGCATTAAATATTCTTGTAATGCTAACACAACAAAACAACCGCCTTCTATAATTGAGAATACTTAACACAACAATTATTTTTAAAATCTTCTAATAGTAATTCAACTTAAATTTATACAATATTAGATTATTAGACTGTTAAGTAAATAAACTGAATCTAAAAAAAAAATTATTTTATAATTGAGTCAAATATACTCAACATATTGAGAGGCCAAAGCTTAATATATAGATAAATCTTTTTAATTCTCTATATATCTAACTATTGATTCAAAATCATTAAAAAAAACTGTTTTTTTTTTGTCGTGTAATATGTAGCATCCAACACCCTTAATCAATATTGCTCTGTGCTCAAAATTTTAATCAACAACTTAATTAGTCAAATACATACAAATCACTTTTTCAACTTGGATTTATAAATTTGATGCGCCTAACGATTTAGCCGATAATAAAATCAAACAGTCGCTTTGACGTTGGAGTTCTTGGTCCTCAGCACCCTTAGCCGACAAGCATAGAGGAGAAATATAGAATCCCCTCTCTCTCTCTCTCCACTCTTTTCAAACGCCCAGACCTTCAAAAAGCCGTGAGTAGAAATAAAGCAGCAGCTTCTGTAACCATCAGTTCTTATCTTTAATTTCTTCCTCTCCAACCTCATCCCAAGCCTTCTTCTCTTTCTCATCTCCTCACCAAATCCTTTGCTTGCTCTCGAATCTAAGCTAGATATATATTGCTTGATTGGAATAATCCATTCATGATCTTAAACAGCCTCGACATCATGAAACCGGATCCGTTCTCCGAAGAGGTGGACAGCGTGCAAGGAATAGGGAGAAGACGGAAAGACGGTGAGAAAAAGGAAAGGAAGCCTCCGCAGCTTCTACCGCCGCCGCAGCAGGCTGGCGACGGCGCGAGCATCGAGTTAGCGAAGCGCCCACGTGGACGGCCGCCGGGGTCGAAAAACAGGCCGAAGCCGCCGGTGGTTATCACAAAGGAGGCGGAGCCGTCAGCCGCGATGCGGCCGTACGTGCTGGAAATTCCCGGCGGCCACGATATCGTTGACTGCCTCGCGCGTTTCTCTCGCCGGCGTAAGCTGGGAATATCCGTGCTTGCGGCGACCGGCGCCGTGGTCAACGTGACGATACGCCAGCCAGGGGTCGAGGCAGCTATCGTGTTCCACGGGCGGTTCGAGATCCTGTCAATTTCGGCCACGTTCATGCCTCCGGCGATAGCCGCGGCAGCAGCGGCGGGGACTGGAATCACGATTTCGCTTGCGGGACCGCAGGGGCAAGTAATCGGAGGGACGGTAGTAGGGACATTATTGGCGGCTGGGGTGGTGATAGTGGTGGCGGCAGCGTTTGCGAATCCGACATTTCACCGGCTGCCGGAGGAGGAAGAGTTATCGGTATCAGTTTCGGTTTCGGGGAACGATGCGACGGCTGAAGTAGCCGCCCAGCCGCAGTATCATGAAGACGAGCATCAGCGTTTCTTTCACCATTTTCATCTACAACAGCCGCATTCGTCGCCGTCTCCGCCACACCCGCCTGCTGCAGCGGCGGAGTCGGGTGGCATGGCGATGTATGGTTCACACTTCTCACAGGACATTGTATGGCCACCTGGTGGCCGCCCGTCGCATCCGCCTTACTGATTTAAACCTTCCCGATATTGACATGGTTATATTCTCGCCTGCAACTGCTTTCTTTCTCTCTGGCTCTCAAATCTTCAGTCTTTTTATCTCTTTTTTTTTCCTTTAGCAGAGTAGTTGTAGATCATTTTTTCTTTACCTCTCGTTCTCTATCTCTTTCTGAAATATCTTTTGTTCTTCTTCTATTTATGTCGAATTATCCCAAATCTTTTTTTTTTCAAATCTGCACTGAGTTGGACTCCAAGTGCTGATACTGCATCATGAAATTTTGTTTTAAACCAAGTGATGGGTTACTGGTTCTGTTATTTATTGTTTGTATCTTATTATCTAGTAATTTTGGTAATTTTTTTTTTTATGATGATTGCTAGTTCTGCAAAATGCTGTGTTGTTCTTCTTGATGGTGGATTCAGTTCTTTTGCATTCTTAGATGAAATTAGGAGTGAATTATAAATTTTATATATTGCAGTAAATTTGTGAAAAAGTTGGTGTAGTTCGCTGTTTTTCGATAACCTCTAGATGTATTAATTTGACTTATTTTAAGAAAGGTAGATGCATACCTTAAAAAAATTAGTTTAAGAATATTAAAAATGATATTTTTTATTAGAGTTAAATGAGAATTTAACTTTTAAAGATAAAAAACATTTCTAATAATGAAGATATATTAACTTGAGAAAATTGGTCCTCCATTTTCTGAATCAAGATGCCATCCTTTTATCCTTTTAGGACAAAATTCTTATTAGGACATCTCCAACCGAAACTCTCATTTTTCACTGCAAAATGCAGTAAAATCAAAAAGTGCTGTGATTCATCTCCAGTGGAATGTCATTTTGCCCAAAATCATCGTTGTTTCTTTCGCGTCTTTCTCAGACGGGGTTCGGTAGAGAGAAAGAAATGGCGAAAGTGAATAGTGTGACGCCAATATTGGCGTCGCACTGTTCACAAGCGACTGAATGCCGGCAAAAATGAAATTCGGTTGGCACGTCTGAGGCTCTCCATTCGCCTGTTTGCCGAACGGCCGGAGAAGTCCTTAGGAACTACTTATAAAATTGTTTGTCATTGATGATCAAGATCAAATTAAGTAGGAATGAGGATTTGTGCTTTAGTATAATACTTTTAATGGAGCGACAGTCATACTTTAATGTTATTAATTTAACTGTAATAGGTAATATAATAATTTAAATTGATACCATCTTAATTAGCTTTAATAATATCTTAATCAATAATAATAATACTTTTTTAATAAATTTAGATTTGCAATTATATCCCAGCATACTGTTAATTTTCACATTAAAATTTCTATTTATTTAAATACTTAATTCTGAAAAGAACAGGCTAACAGCTAAATAAACCAAAATTTAGTCAAATTTAAATGCTCACATGCTCAAAATTTTTTATGATTTAATGAGATTTACTAAGTTCATCATTAAATATTTCTGTTTATATATTTAACAAAAACTAATTATTTATTTACAAATTTTGTAAATACATCAATAATATCACTGAATTTAATTCTTATTTAAATATACTAAAAAAAAATTATTTATTCAAATATCAATGAAATTTTTAAACAAGTCAAATAAATTATTGAAATTATTTATATTTATGTATTTAATACCTAGAAATCTTCTAACTATTTCCAATATACCACTAGTGTTACTATTATTAAGCATGATTAAATTAACACATAATCATCATGCTTCAACTCCAACTTTAATTATTCAACCCAAACACCTCTTTTAAAAAGAGGGTAATAATAAATGCTTACAAGAAGAGAATTACAATGATCATAGAAGTATTAAAAGGCTCTCTATTTCAACAATTAATATGAATTATAAGTCAAAATTCATGTTTTTCTCTATTTTTTTTAAATTATTTCTCCTTAAATTTAGATCTAGGCCATCTCCAATTGAACTCCATACTCGTGTTTAGCTTCCGAGAATTGCTCCAATCAAACGACAAAACGTGCTCCATTCTCGTGTTTGGTGTCGCACCGTTCACAAACACATTTTTTTTTGTGGAAACTGAAAAGGCAAAGGCGGAGCGCCGAGAGCGCGTGGAATTTGGTTGAGAAAGAATATATATGAAATAGTATTTTTTGGTGTTAAGAAATAGAGTTCGATTTGAGATAGAATTGCTGAATTTTGAAATGTTACTGTATTTTGGAGCGAAAAATGAGTTATTCTTTTGGAGATGGTCTTATGTTCAAAAAGAAATGGAAACAGCATATTGAAATAGGAAGAGTAGTACTATTGCTGGAAGAACAAAAACTAAAATATCTTGTAATTTGCTCTAATAACATTGGCAACCTTCTATGATTTCCATCTTAAAGCAAACAACATGAGTCTGCCCTTCTTGAAGCAAGAAAACTGGTAGGCAGCCTTGTTTATTAAGAGTAAGGGTGCTTAAAGTAACAAGTGATCATCTAGAAACTTACCTATGTCATTAGCTACTTTAAGGATTCTATTACAGAAAAGAAAAAACTTCATGAAGAACCAAAGAACTCTAAAAGATCAAATATTGCTCTCTGACCATAAAATTATACTGGAAATCTGTATAATTTTATTTGAGTACTTGTTTTGAAGGATCACAAATTACTATTGGCCGGGTTCCATCTCCAACGTACTGATCTGCTTTAAATTCTGATTGCAGACGAAGATAAGGGCAGCGGTACAGCAGCGAGATACCCACGCGAGGTCTTCAATCTCTGTCCGCACGTCCTCCTCGGCAACACTATAGAGCCCATTGTATCTTTGCTCACGGTAGTAAAGTTTGAGCTTTGGAAAGCTTGGCGAGAGAGAGAGAGAGAGAGAGAGGCGAAGGAGAGCGAGAAGGGAAAAAGCAGTAAAGGCCTTAAAAGAAGTGAAAAAGAAGGTGGCTATGTTTGCAAGTTGCAACGTATAACTTGATAGGTTAAAGGCAGTACAACACAAAACCTACTTTGGTGTGGAGAGAAGGTTTCTTCTGTACTTGGGTCATCTGAAGCACTTGATCGGATCGAATCTCCTGTGAAAAGCTAAAGTCTCTTCCATTCTGAAGATTGTTGAGAGCTGAAATGAATTAGCCTTCTCTTTCTGTCTTTCCATATGCTTTAATGATGGAAGAACAGAGACGATACAGTTGGCACATATGGGTGGATGGGTGCGTGGGTGACTTTTTGTCTAATTATTGGAGAGTGAAATGGAATTCTCACCCACCACCACTGCTTGTCCGTGTGATGAAGAGTCGGTTGGACAAAATCCAGGTATCTGATTTAAATCCTTTGACAAGCAGTGAAAGCGTTAAGTGTTGAACCGTATAAATTGGTGTAGGTTGCATGCTAGGTCAACTGAGATTTTCACTGGCCTAAGAACAATAATTTCTCGTCAAAAAAATTTTCTCTTGGCTCCATAAATGTCCTTCTAAGCTTATGGCAGAGGCATGGGCTGCCAGAGACTGGCTAATTCAATTGTGAGTACAGCACATGGATTTTTTTTTTTGAGAAATTTGGACAGCACATGGGTATTAGAAGATAGCATGTTTACTATTTTGTTCTGTCTACCTTTAACCATCTTGTAAAGTTGGCGCTCATAATTTTGTTTTTTTATACAATAATTTTGTATTTTACTGTCTTTATATCTGCATTACTTTTTCTTTTAAATTATTTTCAGGTTCAGATTAGAAATTCTTTTGAGATGATTTTATTACTATTTCTTAAAGCAAATCTTGAATTGTGATAATATCACTTAACTAAATTGATTATGATAATAATATTTACTATTATTATATCTGAGTATCAGCTGCTTTATTTCAAAATCTTATAAATTATAATCGAATCGTAGCTATATAAAAGAATGTTTAGTCTGCTTCCTGCTTTAAATGAATTTCTGCTAAGGCCTACTATGATCCAGTGTTTTGATTTCTTCAATGACCATCCTGGATTAGGCAGCACCCAAAAGCAATTTTGTTTTCTTGTTCTATGTTGTTCTATCTATTTTATATGGAGAGAGAGGAATGACAGGCGGTTTAGCTCATCTCAATCAACTGTTAATGGCACAATTCTTAAAATTCAGAAAGCTGTGGGAGCTAAATCGTTAAGATGGAGAAATGCTGATAGATTGAAACAAGTTTTTCCAAGTTGTTTTGGTTATGGGAGCAGGTCTTGGGAGTAAGTAGACTGCTGGGCTCTACTTACTCTCACCGGACGATGATGACTGAATTCAGCTCTCTGTCTCTCCCTTTGGACGGCCAATGCTTTTCGTTTTGCCTGTGCAATCCGAGTTTTTGTGTGGCAACCTGGGGCGAGTCTCTTCTTCCCCATGGATGGCTGTCTGCTCTTGATTTTTCTCTGATGTTGGGACAGGTTTCTGGCAACCGGGGAGAGCTCTGGTCGCTGCTTACTCCAATATTTTTCAGGCCTTGTATCTTCAGTTTTCTGGAGATGCTCTATTGCCTGATTTGCTGAATTCTTTTTTGTTCTGAGTCCGGTTGGACCTTTTTTGATCTTTTTGGTTTGTTTTGTGTATTGGAAATGGGTTATATGTATTACAGGTTTTGTTATTTTCTGTAATATTTACCAGTTAATAGAAGGGCAAAGCCCCAATTTCTCTCAAAAAAAAAAAAAAGAATGTTTAGTGAATTAAAATTTAATCAATTTGACTCTTTTTATAGCCAGATTTAAAAAAAAAAAAAAAAGTCAGGGAATAGAAGAGAAATAATTTTATTCAAAATGCGCAATTAAATGTATTTTTTAATAAAGAAAATAGTACAATATTTGGTCAATAATATGAGAACAGTGAAATTTCTAAAAATTTAACACCTAAACAGTGATATTGATTTTTTTTTTCCATCTCATTCTCTTTCAAAATATAAAAATTTATAAGTACATAAAATATGATACTAGTAAATTTTATTTTGAATTAAACGTACTTTAATATCTTGGCTTTGCAATTTAATTAACATTTAAACAGCTTGTAATTACAATCGCATGTAATTAACAACTTTCTAACAGTATTTTAAAAGATAGGCTTAATTTGTAATAGTTTTTTTAATATTTTAAAATAATTTTTTAGAACAAAAACTTATAATTTATTTTTTTTTAATTAAAAAATTATTCTAAAGAAAACTTAAGGCTTCATTTAAGACAGTTTTTCACCACTACTTTTAAGATTTTCTCACTAAAAATTATTTAAAAAAATAGTAAAAAATTTAATCCAAGCAAAGCCTTAATATAAAATAAACGTATTATCCTACATTATAACACTGCAATTGCCTTGCATGATTTTTTTACTTACGATTTATCATTGAGATATTCTTCTTATAAAAAAAATTACAAAATAATTTTAAATATTACATCTTATCACATTCATTGCTCTACCCTGTAAAATCAGGTAAAGGCTCCAATTCTAAAATTTTAGGACTTCTCAAAATGGCTTATCCAACACTTCAACACTAACAATTTTCCATGCATTAATCCTACTAACCCTTCATATATGGGTAATTAAGTTCCTAATCACTTAACAAACAATGTTACTGCCCTAACAACTGATGACAAAATAAAGACGGTGTTCTCTTCAACTCATAAAAACTCTACTTTCGAACCTAATGATCGAGTTGAATTTTGACTACTCTCAACTTAGGAAATAATTGGAAACCAAGTTTATTATATTGTCAAACAATTCTTCAACACTGAGAAATTACTAAGAAATGTGAAGGCGACTTCCAAAAATCCCTCACACCAACAATTTTGCAGACTTTAAGCATATACTTAGGTTGCAATTTCAACAAGATTTATTTTAATGATTCTTGCCAGTAGATTCAATCTAATTTGCCATACATCATTCATTCTAGTTAGGGGTGGAACATAGAAGAGCTCAGAATGGACAATTACTCACCCTAAAATCTTTATTGTTAGAAGAATAGACATTTTAACGATTTTACCCTCCTTCAATAAATACAATTGCCCAAATTCTTAAAAAAAAAAAAAATCTTTTTCCTATTTCATATATAAATAATGTATTTCACAATTCTATTTGGCCCACCCTCAAAAGAGAGGTTGGTTCTACCCCTAATTTTAGCTAAGCTGCTTTTATTTAAAATAGGCTATCTATAGACATCATTATCTTAGCTTAGTCAAATTTTCCATCACTTCACAACCCTAGACATTATCGCTTAGTCAACATTATCTTAGTTAAATTAAGTGTTGTAGAGATGAGAATGCTCAGGTGAATGAGCAGCTTTACACTTAGAGACAAAATATGAAATAAATAATAAAAGAAAAAGTTTGAGTAACTCTACTGGCAAAGAAGATTAAGAAAGAGTAGCCTTAGATGATTTGGTCATGATTTGGACAAATAAACATTGGCCTATCAATGACCCTATTATGACAATAGATGTATTAAATTTGGTCTATATTAATAAAGGAAGAGATAGACCAAAAAGACTTGGATAGAAATTATTAGAAATTATATTTTTTTTTAATAAATTAAATTAAAATTTAGCTATTAAAAAACTACAATGGAGAAAAAAGATTCATGCAACCAACCACTTATAGTAAGATAAAAGCTTGTTATTGTTGTTGTTATATGAATTTATTAATCAATCTAAAAGCACTATTCAAATTTTTGATAATATTGCCAAACATCTTCTCAAAAGATGCCTTGGTATTCTTGCTACCTCCTACAACCTTATCATGACATCCTTATATAATTAAACTTCTTCACCTCAATGACTTTCAACCTGATCTCCATAGGATCTCCTAGATGTTGGATGGCTGGAATGCAAATAGCTCTCTTCAACAGAGGAAAAATTATTACATCCGGACAAAATACCGAGCATACCTAATATACCGAGCGCAGTACCAAGTGCGGTACCGAGCATACCTAGTGTACCGAGCACAGTACCGTTTGCGATACCGAGCATACCTAGTGTACCGAGTGCAGTACCGAGTGCGGTACCGAGCACTTGAGTGACATGACGTTTTGTTATTGATCTCTGGATGCATTCGGTGTCCGGACACAATAATTACTCCTTCAACAGGTTGCAAACAACTATTGAAATTCTCCACTTGTAACTTAATTGCTTACTATCCTAGATAACTTACCCTTCAGTAAGCTTGTATTAAAATCATAATCTTTATAGTGCTATGGTTTTTTTTTTCATGGGAGCACAAATATAAGTAAACTTGAGACAAAAAATGCACCCCCAAAATTAATGGAGGCTCCAGTGTATCCCTGTTCTCCATATTGCTTTTAATTTGCTCACATTATAATAATGCATTCCCTTATAATAATGTAGGCCACATACCTGCTCGAAAACTATTTCTCGCTCAATATGTTGCCTCATTTACTATATCTAGAGGGAAGGGAATAATAAAAACTTCCAGTTTTTAGTCTGCTGGTTGATAAAGGAGAGATTATTCTGTGCGGATATTGGACGGGAGAACCGTTCGATTTACGCTTAAGTACCGAGCGGTACTTAGCCTCCATACCGCTCTGTACTAAGTTCGGTACCGGACATGATGTATTTTCTTTGGGGTCTGGATTCCGCACAGAATAATTTTTCCTTGAAAAAGAGGCACTTCCCTCCCTGGATGGCTTCAGCACCAGCTGTTGGTCGAAGTACTTTTTTTTTTGGGTGATTTTTGATAATCCTGTTCACATGAGTCCTCAGCAGCTCATTGCCTCAATTTTGGCTTAATTTCCGGCCTGAAGATATTTTGCTATCTTTAGCTAGCTTTTTCTTCATAGTTCGGTAATCACGTTGCATTCAATGGAATTTCAGCTACTGATCTCACTTTCCCCCCCAAAAGAAATCTTTATCTGAATAGATAATTATTTTGTTGACCAAATTAAAATTAGTTGAATGGAGAAAAAGAGAAACTACTACAAAAGCTATCACATATTTTCCTCGGCTCAAATAAATTACTTGATTTCCAATGCATGCATAAGAAAAACTGAAAGAAATACAGAAATACAAGAACTTGTTACCTTTTCTGCCAGATCAAAATAACTGGATTTCAAATGGAACTAACAATATATTTATATAGATTCCATGCAAACTTAACCCTTTCTGTTATGGCATGATCCAACTTTGCGCCGCCGGAAACATGAGCTGGTTCTTTACACTGCCAATTGCCAAAGAAAATTTTACTACCTTTCAATAGTTAACCACTTAGAAAATAATGAATTTGATCCAAATTGCAGGAATCATCATTTACAGAAAGTTAATAATACTAAATGACTAATAAAATTGCAGAACAATATGGCAATGTGAGCTCATGTGCAACATCTAAGAATATTTACAATTATTGAAGTTCATGAATCACAAATTTCAGTGCAGGATTAATTAACTCTTTTAATAAACAGATCACCATACCACTAAAAAAATAATCTAAAGCATAGAAATTGTTTCATCCATAAAAGAATCTTTATGGATTATGTCAAAGAACAGTAATGAAGATAATCAACCATTGCCGGTAACGAAGATAATCATTACGGCAGATCCATATGAGGGCTTTGTGTATTTGCATATATCTTTTATATGTACAGACTAACAGATCATAAGAAAACATTGAAGGAAGACTAAACGACTTATCTATTCTATTCTTTATTGTTGGAGCCATAGACTGAATTATGAATCCTTGGGATTGTATTAGTGGATCATTTTATATTCCTAAATACAATTGCTTCTTTTATTTATTTATTATTTTTTACCATTGCTTCTTTTAGAATAGTTAATCGGCGTAATTTAAGAAATATATAATACGGCAATTTCCACGTTGTAAACTATTTTTTAATTAATTAACTTATGTTACTATATAAATGAATTGTTAATTGAAATATCTAAAATAAAACATAATGAATTGATTTGGAATTTAACAGTCCAGCAATAATGCAAGTGCAAATTCCTTCCTATGCAAGCATTTAAATCAACTAACTATGCAAACTCCTTCACATGTTCTAGAAACATTTAAACCAACTATAAAGCATGCTTGGGAATAGAATTCTAGCAATTAAAGACAAATAACGATCTGCTTCAGCATTGGCGTAAATTTCCACTCCAAATGGTGCCTCTTAAGGTTTGGAGTTGAATTGTTATTCAACAACAATAATCCAAATGTATTGATGCAAAGTTTAATAACTCAACAATAATCCGAATGGAAAAATATTGCATTAACATGTAAGTCAAAAACCAAGAATATTATAGAGTGCGTACTCTCAAATTTGTAGTCCTCAAAAGGTATATTTGAACACTTAAAAGGAACCATATTAATCTAAATCAACAATAGCACATGCTATAGAACAAATCATCGGAATGTTGGAGACATATAAAAATAATTTTATGTTTTCTTGACTGAGTAAAGGGTTTTCACATGTAAGAAGCAAGGAAAGTGGAAACTATCATTAAATCATCATCAAAATACAATAGAGGGGCCCTTATATATAGGTCTTAACATGACAAAAGAGAATGACTAAAATGCCCTCAGGGCTACAACATCAAGCTAACAACCCATAGTGGTAAAATAGGAAAAACTGAAATATAAATAAACAATACATAAAATGCATAAAAAATAAAGGCTGCTGATCGTGGTTGTCGATCTCTAATGCCTCCTCTGAAAAACTCGCCAAAATCTCCTGCTGATGTCCTCATCATTTTCCCCGGGTGGGAGAAAACTCGACCTCATCGATTGAACATCTCGAGAACATCGTATAACTCTAACAGATATAGATCCAATCCTTGTAGTTCATCTCGCTCGATCCATGTGTCCTCTGTCACCGATTTTCCTTCCCAATGAACTAGGTACCTTTGGCGCCCACCTTCTTTAGTGGAAATGATTTCATCGTTAAGTATTGCTTCAATCTTCTCCACATTAGATGAATGTGGTAGATTGGGGACTGAAGGTAGGCTAGGGTTTTCACTGAGTAGGTTCACAAAAGGCTCATCATGTAGTGGATTATTAGGGTTAAACTCTAGTTCATCAAAGGCTACTAGATATTCAATATTAAACGTATGATTTATATTAAAACCTTTAAGAAGGTCTAGTACATAATTATTACTGTTTATTTTGGAAATTATTTTAAAAGGTCTTGCACTTTTAGCATGCAACTTTTTAACAGATCCTTGAGGGAACCGCCTCGGACGAATCCGTACCATTACAAAATCTTCAACTTCGAATTCTTTAAATCTTTTCTTGCGATCAACATTAAGCTTATAGCTGGCGTTGCTTTGTTCAATTCTTTTATTAATTTCCTTGTGCAATTCCTGGGGATGAGATGAAATATAAAATAAACAATACATAAAATGCATCAAAAATAAATGCTCCTGATCGTGGCCATCGATCTCCAATGCCTCCTCTGAAAAATGCGTCAAAATCTCTTACTGATGTCCTCACCAAGTCTACTTGCATGCAACAGCACAACTTTTGAACATTCACTGACAACACACTACCAACGAACAAATCCAACAAAGCTTGCAGTGCACAACGGCTTGCATGCAAAAAGCCACAAATGACCTGTAGCGCAACGCTATGACTCACCTGTAAGCAGAAGCAGGGAGTTTGTAATGAAGATTGCTGATAGACAGAAATAGAAAAATGCTAACGTCGGGCCGCCGCGATGAATATATTTGCTCATTTATAAATGTAAGGGTGGAGGACTCCTGATGCATCGTACATAACATTTGCATGCAGAGATATACTCTTACGAGCTAAATTCAGAGAAAATGACAACATGCAGGAGACAAAGTGAGTCAAACTATATTGCCAATGCACGACAAATGAAACTCAACGCAATGTTAAAGAATGCCATCGAATTTGCAACATTCATACATGCAAACAAAAGGCTTCTACATGCTTCTAAATAGAGCACTGTGCACACTAAAATAACTATCATTCGCACAGCTGATTGGTGTCAAACACTTCAGAAATTCCCTCCCACATGCGTTACAAATTTTTCTTAGTATTAAAGGATTATATAGCCAATAAAATACAATGTGAAAGTTATATTCCGGAGGGTTATATTGCTGAAAAAGTGATATCTTTCTATTCTAAATATCTGAAGGGATCTCAATTTTTAGACGCAACATCAAATGAAGAGCAATTTACTTTTAAATTTTCAAGTGATGTCACTCTACTGAGAAAGGTTACTTCGTTCACTTTGGATGATAAATCATTGGTTCAGACTTATAGATATGTCCTCCAGAATTGTGATAATCTTGATTTGTACATAGAACGTTTCAAAAGATGGTGAATGGAGAAAAAGACGGAGACATGCATATTTAATAATATCTGATATGGAGAGTCTAATTAATGAAAGATTTCACAAATGATTGCGTGACATAGTAGACAATCATATTTTTCTATCTCTAACAAAGCATATCTTAAACTTCACAAGAGCTTATAATAAAATAGTTAACAAAAAAAATTTCATTCCTTTATAGATTTCAGGTTCAATTGATATGATAATCTTAGAAGAAATCAAAAATCTGGCTAGGGGTCCTAATAAACTTGCATATAAATACAAGGGTCTTCACATTAATGACTATAATTTTCACACAAAATATAAAACGAGAATAAGGAAAATCATAATATGGTGTCGTTAATACAACAAAGATTGAGAATTTCAATTACTATGAAAAAATTAATGATATAATTAAAATTAATTTCTCCAACATATTCAAGGTTGTACTATTCAAATATGATAGGGGAAACACAAGTTCAATGGTCATACTCTTGTGAATTTTTCAAGACTTAATCATACAGGACATAAACTTCAAGATGATCCTTTTATTTTTTATTCTCAAGTCTCGCCAATATTCTACATTCAAGATCCTAAAAACATGAATTGAAAATTTGTTGTAAAAGTGAAACCCCGAGATGTATTTGATTGTAATATTTCTCATCCCATGCAAATGTAAGTCGTTCCCTTTCTTTTTTTTTTTTTATTATTGTTTATGCTAAACATTTTATTATAGTTTGTACTAAACACTTTTTTTTTATTTTTGGGCAGGAAATAACAAGAGGCGGTTTTTTCAGCAGAGCAAAGAAGGTGATATTTAGAGGAGAAAGTAGTAGGGCCTCCACAACCCCTTCTACTCCAATCCACCTAGTTTCACAAGAAGAATTTGAGTACAGCGGAACTTAACAGCCATTGCGACATTCTTTTTGCAGTCAAGCTCCTACCTCAAAGGAGAGAATATTGCTCATAGGTACAATTTCATAAAATTTTAAAGATCTGATTTGTAAAGATGAGCAAGGCACGGCCATCAGGCACAAGGGGCGTATAAGATGTGCCAATATACAAAATATGTCACCAAGTACACGAGTTCACATTGAGGTAAATGAAAATAAAGTTCCTTGATATCCTTGAGTATATTCTACGAGGATCATATCTTAGTGTTGTCGCAAGAGATCCTATTTTGACTCCAATATATTCTATGGACTGAAGAAATAAGAGTATATAGCCCTACAAGATGAAGATGTTGGCCGAAGTTGAAGTATGTGTGATTCATAATAAAGTTCAATTTTCACTTATATATTATTAACCATATGAATTTGTCAATTGCAGTCTAATTTTGAGTTCCCTGGCCATATACATCATTGGATTATTGAATCCCTTAGTGTTAAGTGGTGTCATCAAAAAACCACTTTGAAGGCTGAGTACTGGGACAACAGACCTATTGAGGAAATTATAGAGACTGTCTCAGCTGGAGTTGATGCATTATAATGATGTCAACTTTTTACACAATGGTCAAAATTAGAGGACTAGATTAGTATTGATATTAACTCATCTAATGTCTAACATTCTACTGAAAACATAAGTTTGTTCTTATGATGAGCTCAAGTGGTTGATGTTTCCACTTATATGAATATTTTTATATTTTGGAACTTAAATTGTTTTGATTTTGAATTCAAATGATTATTTTGGTATTTCTACTTGTATGAATATTTTTATATTATAGATTTAATGTTTGTTATATATGAAGTCTAGTTCTTAAATTGATTCTAGATGAGATGTTTGCTAGGTATTCATGTTGTGATGAATATGTAATCAAATGCTTGATTTTAATATTGATTTGTTAGCATGGACACCTACTTATATGTATGAAGAGTCTCTCATCACTCACAATAATGAAAATTGGAATAACCTTTATTTTTGTCAATGCATTAGATTGATGGTTTGCAGTGTAATAAATTTGCAAGTCTGTTATTTTCATTTGAAGTTCTCTTAAAAATATTTTTATATACTTAAAAGCTAATATGGACCATATAGTTGAAATTGTCATTATGTTCTAAAGTTTAAATTAAGAAGGTTGAGAATTGATGTTAGGTTGAGAATCAAACTTAAAACTGGTGCTAAATTAGTAAACTGAAACTATTTTCGAATTTTCTAATGTAAGGGCGTGCTTGATTTTGCAGAGAAAAATCCTAGGATTTGCTAGGTTCACTCCGAAGTGACTTGTTAAAAATAAACTTGATTTTGGTGAAGAATACGTAAAACTTAGCTAGGATGACAACCATAAGTTATGCTCCCCCAACTAGCTTGAATGTGGTGAGAACTTAACAGTGGCTTACTGTAATACTCATAATTCTTAAATAAAATCAAGTCCAAAATTGGTCTTGGTTACTAAGGCAACGCAACAAGATTTAAAAAAGAAAATTATGGACATTTGTGATGGTTTTAATCACCAAAAACTTACAAAATTGTGGCGTTTAAAATTGACACAATTTTGTAAGTAAGATTTTCTTAATCCGAATAGTGACGATTATGACCTCCTCAATTCTATAAATTTATGACGGTTAAAACCTCTGATATAAACATCACTTCGATTGAACATACCCCAATGGTCTTGAAACTACCTTGAAATATAGTTGCAGTGCATTGCAATCACTGCGTTTTGCAGTGGTTTTAGAACCGCTGCAAAAAATTTTGTGGAGGGTAAAACCGCCGGGAAAGCTCATTTTTTGTGCTGCAATAGGCCTATTTTTTGGGTAGTGCGCTATTTAGGAAACAAAATATTCGAAACATAGACAATTGTTTCATGTTAAGTATTTATCCTCTTCAACAAGAAAAGCATTATAAGCCTGGTTTGTAGTAAAAAGTTTTTTAACTAACCAAAAAAAGACAAATTACTGTTAACTAGCCTGGTTCCTGCTTGCCTAAAATTAGACTTATGCCCTACTTTATAATATTTTACATAGACTGCATTATTTTTTTAGAAAAAAAAGAAGGCATTAAAAACAAATGATTTACTTTCAAGAAGGAACTCATCTTCATCGCCTTTATAGATAATATACAAGGAACCAAGATTATAACCAATGAACCAGAGATACATAAAATAATGATTGATGACTTTAAACTCAAAACCGAGGTCATCAAGCAGCTGTATCAGCTTTATCACAAGTAGTTAGAGTTCATAATATGGAGATCAGAAATTACATAAAATCAGTTTGAAAAAAAAAAATCTAAGAATGGAGCATATTACTTGAGATCTCAGTTATGATAAAGTATAATGTGTACAGCCGGTTATGCAGCATAGACAGCTTCAATATCTAAACCATCTTGAGATGAACGATAATACACATTAATGAAAAAACAGTACCAGCCAGTTTCGGGCAAATAGGAACAAACCAGATAAGTTTGAGAGCAGTTAAGAGTAAATCAGTAAACCGATCACACGATCAGTATTTCGATTGATTAATTATGAAAAACATCTGGATTCTTTATTATGACTTTATGATTTACTTCATAGATTTCAATAAAATAGATTTCTTTCATTGAAAAAATCTGCATAGCGGACACCCCTCGCTGTGAAAGAGTCAAGTCACGACAATAATATGGCTTATCAGTAGAATAAACTGGTTAAGAGTAACATGAAGCCTCGTTCAAATTGTGCAGGAAAGGTGAAAGAAGATGATATCTCTTTGTTCTAATAAGTTTTTTTTTTTTAATAAATTGTCCAACTCCTGTGCATATTCAGCAATCCGACATTACTCAACAGACCTCTTCTTCTAACCTTGAATTAAACTTGGTTGAACCAGCTGCTATCATTCATACTACCTCTCACCATCATATGATCACTAGAACCAAAACCGGTTCCGTTAAACCTTGCACTCGTCTAAACTTGTTTCATACTAACAATATGGCAGATCCCACAACAGCCCCTACTACCTATACCGAGGCAGTTAAAAACTCAGAATTGAGGCAGACTATGGTTGTAGAATTCTTAGCTCTCCAAAAGCAAGGTACATGGAGTCTGGTTCAGCCTCCTCCAAACACATCAATACTCAGCTGTAAATGGACTTACCAAATCAAACTTCATGCGGATGGAACAATCGCAAAGCATAAGGCTCGACTGGTTGTGCAAGGAAATAATCAAATACAGTTTAGACTACACATAGCCTTTAAGCTCAGTTGCAAAGTTACTAACAATTCGTATCCTTCTCACAGTCGCTCTCCATGATGATTGGTCAATAAATCAGTTAAATGTTGCCAACGCGTTCTTGCACGGTACTCTCTCTGAAACAGTATACATGGCTTAACCAAAAGGATTCGAAGACTCGTCACATCCTGAACACGTATGTCGTCTCCACAAAGCCATATGCAGTTTGAAACAAGCACAAAGATAGTGGTATAACACTTTTACTTCTTATCTTGTATCAATTGGATTTTCTCATAGCACTGCTGATCCCTCTCTACTTATTTTTAGTCAAAGCATACTCAAAATTTTCTTTTAATGTATGTTGATGACATACTTATTACGGGAAACAACCAAACCGACATATCGATGGTTATAGATAAACTCAGCAACAAATTTAGTATGAAACATCTAGGCCATGCCAATGACTTTCTCGGTATAAAGATAGACTATATAAACCAATCTTATTTTCTTTCACAAAAGAAGTATGTGTTGTCTCTGCTTCAGCTAGCTCAACTATCAGATTGCAACCCTCTAGCAAATCCAACTTGCACGAAGTTACCATCGGCATTCCCGGAAGATAAGGTCCTATCTAATCATCAACTATACAGACGCCTCACGAGTTCACTGCAATATCTCACATTGACTCGTTTCGACATAGCGTACAACGTCAATCAAGTTTCTCAACATATGCATCATCCTCTCCCTCAACACAGCTATTTACTAAAACGACTACTACGCTATATCAAAGGTACGTTAGATTATGGCATACCTATCACCAAATCTAACTTAGTGCTTCAATCTTTTTTATATGCTGATTGGGCAGGCAACCCTATCTCCATGAGATCTACTACCGGCTGTTGTTCGTTCTTAGGAGATTCCATCATATCTTGGACAGTTAAAAAGCAACACGTGGTTGCAAGATCCTCCACAGAATCAGAATACAGAGTATTGACGACCTTGACCTCCGACATCATCTGGCTACGTCGTCTTCTCAAAGATTTTGGCATATCTCAAGAACAACCAACCGACATGTATTGTGACAACATGTCAGCAATCGCATTAGCCAACAATCCCATGTTTCATGTGCGAACTAAACATATTGAGATTGATTAGAAATTTATCAGAGATCATATACAAAACGATAACATCCGTCTTCTTCCGATCAATACAATTGATCAAAAAGAGGATATACTTACCATTTCTCTATCCACACCAAGATTTACTACTCTCAGAAACAAACTAGCAGATGCCTTGCACCCATCAGTTTGCATGGGAGTATTAGCGCATAACAACAAAACATCCTGTAAACAAGCTACTCTTGCTGACGTGGCTTAAATTCATTGGTTAATTGTAGTTTACTTGTCTATAAATATAGGTCTTGTAATGTCTTGTAGATGAATATAGAGAATATTATTTCTCTTCCGTTCTCTATTCTGTTTGGCTGTTCTTACCTTTATCCAATAACAACTAAAGACAAGCAGAGCAATAAATTATTTATTCAATTAAATAAAATTGAATAACACGCAACAATGAATAACAATCTATGCATGTAATTATGCCAAACATTCCAAATTCATTAAGGACAGACACATTGCTTTAGGAAACTACAATTATATAAATATTGCAAACATCCAAAATAATCAAGGGAATAATTTTACATTTAAAAGGCCATCAGGCATATCACAGTCAAGGTTGGTGAATGATCTATTAACAAATTTTCATCAGTTGTATATTTTATTTTCATTCCTATTTACTTTTCTTGGGAAATAAAATATGCAGTTGAAGACGTGAAGCATTAGCTAACATAAACCTTATAAATATTCAATTTAATTCAACTCTAATAATAGAAAATGAGAGGTGGAACCCTAAACCCAAAATCTATGAGAAAGGTTAGTACCGGAAGCCTTTCGATTAGATCTTGAAATAAGCCGCACTCAGCTTCAGAATGCAGCAAATCGAGCGCGTCATCTAATTTGAGTGGAAATAAAGCGCCTCCGCCGGCCTCATAAATCCAAATTTGTTGTCAATCTGTAGCAAACGCCTTCATGGCTGAGCGGAAGAAACAGACACCCATCCGGCATCGTCAGCGAGTCGCTGAGTAAATTGCTACCGAGGAAAACGTGATCGGCGGCGATAGCAAGCGAGGAGAAGGTGGATAAGGGAGAGGGCGATACGGGTAGAAATGGGAAGGAAGTGAAAAGGTTCCGGCTGGGGGAGAGGAAGTTGTTGGCCTTGGGTCCTAGAAGTGCGAGTGCAGCCTGATCGAGGTGGAGCATTGCAGGTAGAGGCGAGCGGCAAGAGGCGACCGGCGACCGGCGACCGGCGCGCGGCAGGTGGCGAGCGGTCGAGCGACGAGCAGAGATTTGAGCTTAGGCTAGGCTTCGAACTTGAATAAAGTATAGATTGTTGGGTCCAGCTTGAGCGGTTTTTTGCTTTGTTAATTTGTACGACAAACGCGAGTAATCAATTGAAGAAAAAAAAACCCTATGGAAATTCACTTAGCGAAAATTTTAGTCAATTTAACAAAGTTTCTTAAAATAATCAGTGATTAAGGAACGAAATGTATAAAAGTCGTATTTAAAAAAATATTATATTATAAAATTTAATTAAGAAAATTATAAGTTTAAGTTAAAATTGACATCATATCATATAATAAGATATAAATAAAAAATAAATTTTCAAGACTTGTTTTATATTAATTTATTAATCCATTGAGATTCTCATTTGATTTCTCTTCTTTTTCACATATATTTCTTTTCTCTCTTTTTGTATAGCTTTGTTTTATGTTGATCATTATTATTAGCAGTTTCATTTTCATAAGAGAAACGTTAATGTTATTAAAAATCTCTTTTTAATTTCTCTTCATAGGATATAGATGATAATTATGATAATTTAGCAATGAAGTCTTCTACACATAATGTTTGGGACCATAGTCATGGAGCATTTGCAGTAATTTAAGCCTCATATATTTTTGCTTTAGTCACGGATATTCTTACTGGAGATTTGCAAAAGAATATTTTCAGGGGTATGCTTTTTGCTATCGATATTATTCTTGTTAATAAGACTTAAGAGGGAATTGAATGTAAACTTGAATTATGCAGGTCAACCTTAGAGTCTAAAGATTTTAGCTTGAGTAGATCTAAAACTAAATATATAGAGTGTAATTTTAGTTGTAATAATTCTAGTGTTGGAGTTTGTGACTTTGGGCGATCAAGTCATTAATATGAGTACTAGATATATTTGGTCTATTTGTTCAGAGTGATTGTGAAATAGATGAGGATATTATTAGTAGAATTCAAGTTGGATGGATGAAGTGGAGGAATGCGGCAAGCTTGTTGTGTGATAGAAAAATGTCACTCAAACTTAAGGGAAAATTCTATAAGATGGTGATTAAACCTGCAATGCTTTATGGTGCAAAATGTTGACCATTAAAGAGAAGCATAATATTAAGTTAAGTGTTGCAGAGACGAGGATGCTCAGGTGGATGAGTGGTTTTACTCTTAGAGATAGGATACGAAATGAGCATATACGTGAAAAGGTTGGAGTAGCTCCATTGGTATATAAGATTAGAGAGAGTCGTCTTAGATGATTTAGTCACATAAAATTGCGGCCTTCTAATGACCTAATTAGGAGAGTATATGTTTTAGATTTAACCAATGTTAAGATAGGTAGTTAGGGGTGTCAATTTCGGGTTAAGGGTTGGGTTCGGGTCAAACCCGAAATAGACTCGATACTATTCGGGTCCGGGTCAACCCGACCCGGTTTGTAAATGGAGAGATTTTATGAACCCCATTTTTCTTGGACGGGGTAGTTTGGGGCCAAGAAATAAAATGTGCTTTATTTGAGATACTAGCATCAAAGAGAAGTCTGAAAGTGCTGAAATTTTTTCCCAAAAAATATACTTGGGGATAGAAACAGATCTCAGTCAAAAAGCAAGGTGGTTATTGATTGAAGATCTAATCAATTGAGCAAACACAGCTCACTGAGGTTTGTTGGTTGAGAGCTTAGGCTTCCAACTAAGAGGTTTTGGGTTCAAGTCTTTGTGTACGCGTTGTGTGTGTGAGTTTGACTTAAATGACCTAAATGTCAAAAAAAAAAAAAATCAATTGAGCCAAAGTTAATGATTTCCTATTAGTCTAAGGCTTCGTTTGAGACGACTTTTTTATTACTTCTTAAAACGAAGTTTTAGTACAACTTTTTCAAATGAAGCCGAAATTAAACTTGGACGTTAATTTCAAAAATTTCAAAACTGCATTTTTTTGACTTTCAAACCGAACATCAATACTTTCAAAGTCTTTGTGTTTGAAATAATTTACATCTATTTTACTTTAAACGAGCCTCCTGTTCATTTACATGGCTATACTTGTTTTAAAATAGGAGTTTCAAATAAAAATGTACAAATAGGCTAAGCTCAAAGAAACGGAGCAATCTCATTGACATCTAAAATTTATCTATTTTACAAAACCGTCATTCTCTTATTTCATTTTAAAAATCTTATTTATCACAACAAAATTCAACCATATGAATTAAACAATTTATTTTTTCGAATAATGATATTGTAGTTGTTGATATAATTAACTAACTTATGTAGAATTTATAATTTTCTTAAGGATATATTACGAGTATAGGACGATGTGTTATAAAACCACATAACATCATTATTTTCAAGATAAAATTAGGCCGTATTTAATTTATCTAAAATATTTTAATCATCTATATAATATTATTTGTACATAGAGGGGTATAGAAGTGTAGAAATAAAATAAGGGTAAGGAGGCTTAGAAAAATGGCCAAAAATCAATTAAAGAGTAATGATAAATTATTCAATTTTTTTTGTCCTTGTGAAAAGTATTCATTTTTATTAATAGAAAAAAAAATCAAATTTTTATTATAATTTCAATCACTTCTTAATTTTAATATTTATTTATTTTTCATTAGCATCACTTTTAAAAAAAAATCTATATACTTGAGAATGTAAAAAAAGAATCACAATGACATTTTATCATCATTCTCTCATCGAAGAACACTTACTGCATGATCTTAATTACATTTTAAATAGGCATTTAAGACCTTCCATAAAAGAAATGTTGTTGAGACATTCATTAAACTCTTTCCAATACTTTTATGCATTCCTTCTCCCTCTAGTGATAGGTTGCAAGACTCTCTCTCTCTCTCTCTCTCTCTCTCTCTCTCTCTCTCTCTCTCTCTCTCTCTCTCTCTCTTATGAAGAAGCATGCCTTGCATGAATATGACATAATACCAACGTTGGAAGTTAGTAAAAACTAGAATTGACGGATGAGAAGGGGCACCTTAATACAAAGTCAATTAAAGTCTCTACAACAAGCAAATGCATACGTACTCAATATATTGCGTAGAATATTATTGGCAACTAGCATTAGAACAATATATCATATGTGGCCAAACAAGCAGAACAAAATACATAAAGGGTTAAAAATCAAATCTATACGCAACCCCTATTTATGTTAAAGATGAAGATCTTATAAAAATTATCATTTGTTTGTGTCTGAAGAAGAACAACCTACGCAGATACTTACATAGGAAAAGAAGAGAAGTGAGTTCTCCTTTACAAATAAGATCAATCCTAATGCAAAATTATATATAAGAATATATAAGCCATTAAGGGTGCATTACGATCGAGTTGGATCCTAAATGAGGGTGTTTAATCACTAGCTAATGAGTAGGTAATTAGCAATTAACATACGAGCTGTCCAACTCCATTTATCATATAAAATCAAATTACTCACTTGAATGAGGGTGTTCTAACCCCTCAACGTATTAATTAGATCAATACTCTCCTCCCCTAAGAAAAACAATCTGATTTTTGTTCCCTTCAAATCAAATTGGTATGAAAAAACTTCTAACTTTTTAAGTACAAAAACTTTTCTAGTTTCTATAACTATCAAATTCTACACAGAATAGTCCACAACTCAATATCTAATTCCATCCACTAAAACGATGTCCAGAAATGTAAATGTTTGTTCTTTTTCTTTGGGAAGATATATATAAAAGATGAGAAATTGTCTTCATCGAGTACATAGCACCGGTACACAACAAAAAAGTTACAGAATAATTTTTCTTCGTCTGCACATCTTTTCGCCATATTTTGTATTATTTAAGAGAAAAACTTAATTTTTTTAGAAAATAGTAATAAAATTAGTTGAAATAAAGCTCGAGCATATTCAACCTTTAAAATTTTTTCCCATATTAAGAAAAAATTTATTGTAATTACTAATAATTAACATAATTGAACTACCATGTTATTAAATGGTGAGAACCAATCTCGATCATGCATACATTTGATGAATATTTTTTAATTCTTAAATGTACTCTTATATTTTTAATTTAATCAATTATTTTTAAGGCTTCATGTGAGATAGCTTTCTTTCTATTTTATAAAACACCTTATTTAATACAAAATTTTTATTAAAAAAAATAATATTTTAAAACTTCTTTATAAATATTAAGAAAATTGTCTCAAAAGAAGCCTAAAAATTTCCCAAGTACCCTTTTAAGCTTTGTTGCACTTAACTATAATGAAAAATTTAAGATAATAAACTAGCGAAAAAAAAAATCGGTCAACATGATCAAAATAAATAAGCTTTTTTTTTCTTATATAAATTGAAAAGTTCAAAATTATATGAGCCTCGCGTTGAAATTGTTCTTTGATGCTCGGAATAACGTTCTCCACATAACAAAAATATTATTGATGACGGTATTATTAACTCAAAATTGTTATGCGATTACTTGACTCGATGTTATTTCATCGTAAACAATGATGTTATTTTGAATAATCATCCATTTTTGCACTTATTTTATATTTATATTAGCATCAAATCTTATAATTAATTTCACGTTTATCATTATATTACCTCTCATGGAGAGATATTATGGTACAGCAAATCTTTAATATAACTATTTTTTATAATAATTAATTGTTATCCGCCTTTTCCCATTTATATAAAAATATAAAATAAACCCAACAGAATAAGAAAAAATTATAATGAGGCGAATTAATGTTGTCCTTTATAGCATTAATATAAATACTTCAAAACTGTGCAGAACTAAGCAACTGCTTACATAACGAAGAGAGCTTACACAGAACCGCACCAAAAACAGAAAGCTTAAAGCGCGGAAGTGCCGAACCGGGTCGAGAGGCGCTGTCGCTTGAACCGATCAGTCGAGCCGGTCCTGTCGGCCAAGAGAACCTCTCGAAGTGCGGCCTGGATGGCGGACCTCGCCTCCCCTCCGATCGGTGTCGGCCCTCCCAGCAACTCCAGCTCCAGCACGCTCCTCGTCCGGCCCCCAACCGTAGTCATCTCTGCACGGACCGCCTTCGCACGGGCCGACCCGACAGCCTGGCTCAGCTCCGCCATTAACCCGGGTCGGTCGGCGCAGCACACCCATGCCCGCACCCTCCCGCCACCTCCCTCCGCAACGTCATCATCGACGCCGACCTCGTCGCCCTCGCTGGGAACTGCTGAAGTCGCCACGTCATCGGCTATGCCCCTCAGCTCTCTCACGTGCCTGACCACCTCCCCGAGCAGCGTCGCCTTGTCCATCTACCAATGTTTATTAGAAAGCGCATAATTATTAAGTGAAAAGGGAGATAGAATTTAATTTATATGTATACCCTGGAGGCGGAAGGGAGGAGGGAGCGGAGGGTAGCGAGGTGGCCGTTGATGCGTTGTCGGCGCTTGCGCTCTGCCTCACTGTGGCTCCGGCAGGAACGCACCGCCGGGGAGCAGGAGGCAGCAATTGGAAGGACGGCGCCGTCGGTCTCCATTTTATCGTGGTCACGAGGGACAGCTTATCCCAAGAGGAGGTAGAGTGAGCGTATCAACGAGAATGTGCGAAGGTACAATAAGAGGATAAACGAGTTGAAAATAGGAGAGAGAGAGAGAGAGAGAGAGAGAGAGAGTGGATGGGGATTGCTTATTGGATGAGGTTTAAGTAGGCGAGGAGGGCGGGGTAACTTTACGAGGAGGGACTGTATATTATTGTAATTTACATTCTGTATTGTTCTTGTTCGTTTGACGTCCCCTTACAGCCTTTAAAGGAGCACAGAACTCTATATATAATAAATCTCAATTTTTTGCTTTTTTTTTTTTACGCTATAAAATCATTATGAGAAAAATAATTATTTTAAAAGTGAAAGGAAAAAAAAAAAGCTTTTTATGCAACTCATTTTTGTCTGTTCTTTGAAAGTTTTGGCTGCCAATAAAAAAATTTTGAATCTCAATCTTACCTATGTTATATGTTGTAAGTTTATCTTAATTAATCTAAATATCCTCTCAAAAAAATATCTTTCTGATATTAAAATCATTAAAAGTGGCAAAAAAATAGTAAACACATAGATACTATTATTAAGATTTAAAAATCAAAATTACAAGAAAATTATTTCAAAAGAAACCTCGATGTAATATTTTATCATTATTAATAAGTAAGTTTTAAATATAGAGTTCCTTCAGAGGAAATTTATCCTAATTGAGAGAGTAAAAGACAATAATAAAAATTATTTAATTTTTTTGTTATAAATAATTTTATAAAAAATACCTAATCTCCAACCATTTGCATTAAGAATTATTTGTTGTTTTAGCTCCTAAGTATTGATGTCATAAAACTTTTTTTTGCTCTCGCTCACTGCTAGGGTTACTTGTGCCGGTGGCGCTTCTCGCCCCCTCGCCAGTGGTTCTTCCAATAAGTCTTCCTTTTTTTTTTTTAATCTTTTCCTCTATTGTGATTTGCTTTGGTGTTCGTTTTGCTTCTGATTCGTCCACCGCCAACTTCTTTGGCTGGAATGGCGGTGAATCGCATAAGCGACAGTGGATTTTTAGATAGTTCATTCAAAAGTACTTGATTCTTTCTCAAGGCTTTTGCTGGAAGTTCCTCTGATGGTAGATTTCCTGATCTCAAACCTACTTTTTTTTTGTGGTCTGCCATCACTTTGGATCTCGGAGGAAGAGATACATTTCTCTAGCGACTCCTTTTCAATTTTCGTTAGTTGGTTTCTTCCCCTCTAAACGACCTTCTTTTGACTCCATTTAAAGATCTTCAACCTTAAGCTTATTGGTGATGTCTCGGTTACTTTGCTTGATTTTTTTGCATATTTTGATTAAAATGATTAATGATCTTGAATATAGTATGGGTTTTTTGTCATATAACTTATTTAGTTAATAATTGATATATGAAATTGACCAAATAGTCTCCTCTTTTTAAAGTTGGTGTTGAGTCTCCAATTTTTCCTATTTTAATTTCTTTTCCTAACCTCCGCCCTCATCTGTTCTCCCCACATATCCTTCATGGCTTGGGTTCGCTTTTTGGTAGGTCGCGCCCTTCTGTAGTCCTTGTTCTGGTTTAGCTTGACATCACAAAAACTTATCTTGATAACGTGTGGTTGGGTCATGAGAAATTAGGTTATATTTAACACGTTGTTATGGATGTTTTCCCCTCTTTTTGTGCTTCATATGAATGTATAGGGAATTTGAGTGGTGATTGTCGGCCTCATATATCTATCTTCTGCCCCGCCTATTGCTTTTTCTGATGCCTTTAAACCGCTTAATATTAATGTTTGTTATGAGTGAGATAGGGTGGTTAATGTTGTTTCTTGTGTTGCCAATAATTTGGTTATGGAGTTGGGTCCTACTGATGATGCTGTCGGGAATAATGTTGGTCTTTCGGTGGAAGCTACTGGTCAATTGACTTCTGTTTTACCTTTGGGTTATCCCAGTTATGTTGAGGAGGAAGTTGCTCTTTGAGCTATTATTATGCCTGAGAATATTGATTGTACTGACAAAGATGGTGTAGAAGGTGGTGATGTTAGCATGAATGCCAATAATTATTGCATTAATCTTATAGCTTGTCATATTTGTGTTGATGTTGTGGATGATGTGGGTGATAATTTTGTTTCTTTAGTTTTTGGGGGTGGTGGACCTACGATTGAGCTAGTTAATTTGGAAAATGTAGCTTATGGGATGCTTAATAATGTGGTTGTTATTGAGGGTAATGATAATATTGTTGTGGATGTCTTTGTTCTTCTGGAGCCTCTAATCAGGCCTACTGTGGCTTTTAATGGTGGCGGTGCTTCTGATGGTGCTAAGTATGCTGCTTCAAAACTCGTTTCTCTCATTGTGTTCATATTTCCCTTATTGCTAATAGTGCTTTGTTAGCTCAATTAGCTACTTATTCGGATTACAATGGGGCGGCTCAAGGTGATTGGTTGGAGGATAGTGATTCTGCCTCAAATTGGTTTTTGGTTGTCTTTGTCGATTGTTTTCTTGTGGCTCTCTGTTAGTTTGGTTGATTGTATGGTGGTTCTGTCTTTTCCTCTTGTGGGTTCCATGGTGGCTCCTCCTCCTGCTGGTGGCGGATTGTTCGTCTTTCTCCCTAGCTGTGTGTTGTTGTTGCCGCCTTGTTCTAACTCTCGTTTGTTTTATGTTGGACTTCATTTTCCTCTTTTTTGTTTTGATTGTAATTGTTAAGTTCCGTTGGCTCTTAGATTTTCTTTCAAAGATTGTGTTTTTAGTGAGCTACTTGATCTTTTAAGGACTTGTAACCTTTCATTTTATTTAAAGCGTAGGCTCCTATGTGGTTAAAAAAAAAAAACAGAATTGTTAGTAGTTTCACTATAAGTCTACCAACCATAGACAATTTACAAACATAAATCTGGATCCTGCTAAATTTTCTTTATATAAATGTCTATAAACAATGTCTAAATCTTATTTATGCCTGAGTTACTCTTAGTTATATTTAATTATTCAATAGTAAAATGGAAATCAAATTGTAAACTTCGTTTGAAAATTGAAACTTTGAAGAATGATGTTGTACTGTAGAGGCTTAATTTGCCAGAAAAATTGCCAGAATAAGATGAGACGACCAGCTGCCATACTACATTAAGAAGCCATACAACATTAATGCGAGTGAATTGGATGCAAATAGGACAAAAGAAATTTGTAAGAGTGATCGATCTTATATAATTGTTTGTTTTGGCAATACCATCAAAAATTTTTGTCTTTTCTTTACTAAAAATTATTTAAGAAGCAGTAAGAAAGAAGTCCCAAACAAACCGAACGTCAAGTTGCTCGAGTTTGTTTATTTAACATCAAGTGTTTATCAAAACTGTTCAAGCTCATTTGTTGATCTTATCAAACGAACATGAACGAGCTCTTATCGAGCCGAGCCATGAGTAGCTCGTCGAACGCTCTGTTCATTTGCAGCCCTCCAGTCAATATTCATTGAAATAATTACATACTACAAACCTACTAAAATATCCAAAAATTAAAAAATAAACTCATCCAAAAAGTTTCTTTTATTTCATCAAAATAAATATATACACTACATTACATTGCTACAAACAAGATGTGCATAACTGAAAGTTTAACTAGTCATGACTATACAAAAATCAAAATAACAAAATACCTATAACTTTAGATCTAATCCTAACTGCTAATCCACAATCTTCTTTCTCTTTTCAGATCCTGAAAATAAAAAACAAGACCACAGTGAACAACAACTAAATATGTCACATAATCCGATCCAAATTTTCAAATTCTTTTATTAAACATTTATCGAACATCAAATCAGCGTAAGGCAATTTAATTGGAGATGATCTAACGATCTAACCCATCAATAAAGGGAACTATTATTACGTCCTCTGACCGGACATAGAGCTACGTTCGGCCACCAATAACATGTCGCCACGTGCTCTTACTCTTTACCGCACGGCCCAACGACTTGACCCGGATCGGAACCCGGGAATGCTATGTTCGTGTATTGCGAGATATTACTCGGTATTTGCTCGGTATTGCTCGGTATTACTAGGTATTGCTTGGCAATAACGAGAAATACCGCTCTGTGAAGACCAATACCGAGCAATACCGAGTTGTACCGAGTTTTTCTAGAAAAACTCGCTACAACTCGGTATTCCTCGGTAGTACTCGGTATTTGCTCGTTATCGCTCGATATTTACTCGGTATTGGTTATGGCCGAGCAAAATCAACCAATACCTAGCAAAATCAAAAAATACTGAGCCATCCTGGGTCCGTTCTGGATCAGGTTGTCGGGGCGCGCGGTAAATACTGAGAACGTGTGGCACGATTCTACTGGCGGCCGAACGTAGAGCTATGTCTTGTGACCGGACCAAATAAAAGTTCCAATAATGGATTGTTCATTCATATTGAAAAGTCCAGTTGTTCAAAAAAATTGCATACCATCGTATAAATAAATTAATCTCAATAAGGACAGTGTTCGATTTATATATATAAATGTAAACGAAAATGTATTATCAGTAAACGATATTCGTTGTAGACGACGAAATAGGACAAAAAAGCGCGTATAAAGACATTTACCTAACCTGTCGTGTTACTTGTCTTAATATATGGATGAAGTTTTCCAAAATCTGGAGAAAGTCATTTATCTTCTCTTTTTTATACGCTGATGATGATAGAACATTTTTGTTATTATTAAATTATACATTGTCTATCTGAGTTTGCGAACGAAACATCGAGGAGAAAAATGAAATTATTCAAAATATATGTCCGCAGAATAAAATATTGAACTATGTATCAATCATATTGTCAATTAATTGTCCTCTTACAATAAAAAAGTAGGGGTGTCAATATTTGACACAACACGAAAACTCGACCCGGACCCGACCCGGAAAATCCGGGTTGGACCCGTCCCGATTTCAAAACAGGTCGGGTTCGGGTTGACCCGACGAGTTACCAGGTCAACACGCGAACCCGTTTAACTTGTACTTCCCGCGCTGCCAACGAAGCTGCCTCGCCTGCCCGTGCACC